CTTTGTAAAAGAATTGGGCTCCTTTGTCTGGCTAAACAAACAGAAGTTCTTTTAGACAGAACCAAGGCTCTTATACTTGCAGAGCCGATTTCTTTGAACAATGCACTATACCAACCTCCTTCCCACAAAGTGGTCGACCCTGGATTGTTGGTGGCATAAAAGGTGCTCCTAAGAAGTCTTCACAATTTCCATTATTTCTTACTGATAGTGGGGGGCAGGCTCACACACTTTCCCGTGTATGATCCCTCATTTCATCAGATGCTTAGGTTCTTCACACTGTGAAAGGGTATTGCATAGACTTCCTTCTCTACCTTTTCAATGTTCCCTATCAAGGGAAATTGTTTTTTCCCAATGAGATGCAGACTTTGTCTCCGTGGACAGTCAATCGTAGAGATTCCGGCCCATACCCTGGGTTACGTGAGCAATCTTTTCTTGTTTCCCAAAAAAGGCAAAGGTATCCGTCCAGTGATAAATTTGAGACTGCTAAATAGTTATGAGCATATCAGCACTTCAAAGATGGAAGGAGAGCATTATTTCAGGGATCTTCTCCAACCATCAGATTGGATAGCCAAATTGGATCTGCAGGATGCATATCTCACAGTGCCTATCCCAGTACAACATCAAGATCGAGAACTTCCTGCAATTTACATGGTAGGGCAGTAAATAGAGGTTCAGGTGCCTCTCATTCGGACTGTCTTCGGCTCCATGGTGCTTCACCAAGCTCACTTCTTATAATATATTTAGACGGCATTTTCATTCTGGCTTAGTCAATTCAATTAATCCGGACATACCTTGCATGGACTTTGACTCTGTTAGAGAACCTAGGCTTCCTGATCAATTGGGAGAAATCCATTATCGTTCCCACGCAACAAATCAAATTTCTGGGTTATATTGGATTATTGTAGATTCTACCCTTCAAACTCTACACCCTCCGGTGACAAAATTAGCCAATATAAAGAAGGAGATAGGCGAACACTAGCAACCTCTCAACTCTCTCTCTTTTAGCGGCATCTATACAGGCCATTTTTCCAGGTCTTCTTGGTTACCGACCCCTACAACGATTACAAACTTCATCTCAAGGGCAGCGCATCATACACAGATATGGTAACTCTGGACTCAGAAACGGAGGATGAACTCCAATGGTGGCTTCTTCACATGGAAGCTTGGAATAAGCGCACCATATTTTGTACAGCTCCAGATTTGATAATCAAATCCGACGCAAGTTTGCACGGTTGGGGTGCTCAGTGCGGAACTATTTCCACCAAGGGCAGATAATCAAACCTGGAATCGACACTCCACATCAATTGTTTGGAACATCTGGCCGGTTCCTTTGCAGTCCACAGTTTCTCCCCAACTCAAGCCCAATACGCTATTCTTCTGAAGATGGACAACATGTCAGCAGTCCGCTACATCAATCACTTGGAGGCACAAAATACAAAATTCTGACCTACATGCCTCGTGATTGCTGGCAATTTTGCCTGAGACACGGCATTTCAGTCACGGCAGAATATATTCAAGGTCTCTCCAACACTACGGAGGACTAGTATTCACGCCAACTCCGAGATTACAGCGACTGGCACTTGGATTCCATGGTCTTCCAAGACATCTGGAACCTATTGGGTCTATTGGAAATAGATCTTTTCGCTTCTCGTTTCAATGCTCAACTTCCCCGTTTTTTCAGTTGGAGATGAGATCCGATAGCACTGGCTATGAATGTTTTCTCCAACGAATTACGATTTTCTGCCCTTAGCACTGATTCCCTGTTGCCTTTCCATCTACATCGCCAGTCCGGCACCTGGTGATCGTGGCTCCTCTATCGCTGTCCCAACCATAGTTCTCTCTTCTTCAGGAGATGGTTATCGACCTTCCATCTCTCGAGTGCCTTCTTCAGGATCCAGACAGTGTACCTCATCCCCTTGTTCTCCAAGGTCTCTTGCATCTCATAGTGTAGTCTATTTCAGGGAACCTTGGTCGGTCAAGGGAGTTTCGCAATCAACTCCCCAACTTATCAAGGGTGCACCCAACACGACAGGCTTATAAATCTGCTTGGAGCAGATGGCATAGTTGGTGCATGAAATTAAATTTAAATCCCATATCGGCTCCTTTTATGTCTGTCCTCCATTTTTCTGACTTCTATGATGAAGGTAAAGCCTATCGCACTGTGGACATTACCGATCGTCGATTTCTGCTGGCCATCAAAGTTTCGATTGGACGCCTGTCGGTTAACATCCTGTCATATATTGACTTCTCTGAGGAATATGGTTTGCTCATCCACCCTTACCACGATACTCTGTCTTGTGGGACGTCTCTATTGTCTTGAATTTTTTTCTTGCAAGAGGTTTTTCTGACGTACAAGCTCTTGAGGTGGTTGCTCGTTCCTTTATTCCAGGAGGTGTCCTCTTTGACATTTCACGGAGGACAAAAACCTCCTCTAAAATCAATTTTACCCAGTTTTCCCTGATAGATCTCTCCTTTGCCCTGTTGCATACTAATGGGTGTGTGAACATCGTTCTACTACATTACGGAATCCTTTGAAACAGGAACTCTTCATCTCCTTCCAAAAGTCGCGTCTTCCGGTGTCCACTCTAGCCTGGTGGGTCAAATACGTTATGTCTCTAGCAGGTATTGATACCTATGTGTCTGTGCCTCATTCGGTTCGTGGGGCAATGGCTTCTAAGGCTTCCTCGATTGGTTGTCGCTTGGAGGATATTATGAGAGAGGCTGGTCTTTGGAGTCTACATTCCATGATTTCTACTTTAGACCTATTCAACACTTCACAGGAGACATAATTTCACAGCTTTGAACTAGCATAATAGGAACCTCCGTGTCTTAATAAAATGTACAGATTTTACTATTAACATAAAGTCATGATTTTATTAATGACACGGAGGCGAGTATTATCCCTCCCTCCCATCCCTGGAGATTTGGTCTTCTCTGGGTAAGTTGACTTCACAGTAAGTCTTTTTTGATTACTGGGTTTTATCCTTGTTAATGAGTGTCAAGAGCTTAAGGTTTGACTAAACTGAATTTCATGTTATGTATATATATCTGATATTCCATGTAAGGCGAATTTATGCATAAATCCAGTTTTATACTTAGATATTACCATATTCTCCTTTCTCTTCCAGCTTGACTTCGAGATCCAATTTAAGGCTTGTATACCCTCTAATTGGAGCCCACTTTTTATTTGGATTTGTTGTCCTTGTTTGGGATCGCAAGAAAGAGGAAGTAGTATACTGGACACTGCCTATTATGCTATAAAGAGGATGCTGATTGGCTGTTCCTGTTGCTAGGAAGATATACCTCATGTTATTTACTGGTTTCTTTTATACTGATTTAATGTTATTTTTCTTTGCTGCTGTCCTGAACATGTTTAATTATGCAGTCGTTTTAATAAAAAATAACATCTACACTTCTTGGTTCTGTAGAACCATAAAACTTTCCATAGTAAAAGTGGTGTCCATATATTTCTTTGGAATAAGGTTGATGACAAGAACTATTAAAACAGCCAAACTTACAGGATCATGATCAATATATGCACCTGCACCGCAAACCCACCTCAATAAACTCAATAAATTGTATAACTCGTTCTGCCAATTTGTGCTACAATGTAATTACATGACCCACCATTGTAACATGCTAAAAGAACTAAACTGGCTGTCACTGGAATCCAGACACACCCTTCATCTTTCCAGCCCTGTGTTTAAGCGCTTTTCTCTGAAGCTCCCATCCTACCTGAGCAGAATGCTCTCCCCGGGTGTTCCCACCTCCTATAACCTCCGATCCAGTACCTGCACATTATTTAGTCTGCCTCAATACAAAAAGAAAGCGGCTCGATCCTCCTTTTACTACAGAGCACCGCAATTATGGAACGACCTCCCTCACGCTTTCAAATCTTACCCAGGCCTAAAATCCTTTAAGAGATCCCTCTATATATAGAAAAACATTATGCACCCGTCATGGTTGATTATTTATTTCCTACCTGTTCTATGTTCCATTTTGTATATATTGTGTCTTAAAGGGACACTCCAGGCACCCAGACCACTTCTGCCCATTGGAGTGGTCTGGGTGCCAACTCCCACTACTCTTAACCCTGCAAGTGTAATTATTGCAGTTTTTCATGAACTGCAATAATTACCTTGCAGGGTTAACTCCACCTCTAGTGGCTGTCTACTATGCTGATTGGCTGTTCTAGACAGCCACTAGAGGGCACTTCTTGGTTTCTAGCACAGGAAACCTGTGCTAGAGCATCGCTGGACGTCCTCACGCTGTGTGAGTACCTCCAGCTTCGCTCATTTCCCCATAGGAAAGCATTTTCAATGCATTTTCAATGCTTTCCTATGGGGTGCGCATGGGCAGCATTGCCGCGCATGCACATTAGGTCTCCCCGGCCGGTGGCCGGGATCAGTCTCGCCCACCGGCTGACGCAATCAGAAGGAGGAGGAAGAAGCAGCGACGTGGGACATCATCGCTGCCTCAGGTAAGTTACTGAATTGGGGGGTGGGAGGGAGAGGGGTCCTGCAGTGCCAGGAAAACGGATTGTTTTCCTGGCACTGGAGTTTCCCTTTAATATTGTTTTTGTATTTTATTGTACCCTATTATATCAATGCAATGTTTTGTGGACCCAGGACATGCTTGAAAACGAGAGAAATCTCAATGTATCCTTCCTGGTAAAATATTTTATAAATAAATAAAATTAATATGGATTAGCCACTAGAGGTTTTCATTATTACAACACCAATAGGGTTATTTACTAGTCTTTGATTGTAGAGTACTAAAATATTAATGGCAAAAGTGTAGCAAAAAAACAGATATGGAAAATTATCAAGCTCAAGTATAGGCACAGTTTATCTTAACCTGCTACTGTTACTATGTTACTATCTTACTTTTCAGAGTTTTGTAAGTAACCTTGAAAGAACCTAATTGAAATATTTATAAGGAGAGTCTTAAAAAAACAAAACACTGACTACATTAAATAGAATTTTACAAATTTATTATCCATCTAATACAGAATTAAAGATCACTTGTAAACACATTAAAATATTCATAAACAAATTAAAAAAAAAGTCCAAAATAAATAGTTATAGTTTTTTTTGTGATGGTAACACAATATATTACAGTGCAGACTGCATGTTTTAAAGATCAATTCATATTGCTCATTTTCCTTCTTAGTAGGTACTGAATGTTCCCGAGTCACCATATGATTCTGTTGTCCAAATGATCGACAGTCATTCAAGATGTCATTAGCTAGGGAAAAGCTTTCTAGCCACTGAGAAGGTTGGATAGAGAGACATATGGGAATATTGCAAATACCCTCTCATAAAAACCTTTAATCAATGGACTCAAACTCTGTCCCCCAGCTGTTGTTGGACTAAAACACCCATAATACTCTACCCTCTTTTTGGAGTTGTAGTTCATTATCAACTTGGGGGTCAGAGTTTTTTTATAACTGTTTTAAAAGTCACTCTAAGCACCATCACAACATTGCATAATTGCTTAGAGAACCCTCAGTCATTTTTTAAAATGGCTGCAAATTGCTGCAATTTAAAAAAAAAAAAAAAAAGATCGCTGCACTTCTAAGCCTGCTTCTCAAAGCTATTCATTAATCAGCCTAGAAAAAAAGAGTTGAGTAATAAAAATTTATTTTTGGCGTGAGAGATACCTGCAAGAGTAGACCCACTAAACAGTGTATCAAGAGAAACGTCAAAACGTCTATCTTAGGGTTTTCTGTTTTGCATTTTTAATGAATTCTCTTTACAATTCATTAAAAAACAAGGTTTCATTTTTACCCTCTAGTTTCTCATTAAGTAGCTTAAAATAAGCTTTAATCACATTTCTCTGGCCTTATTTGTCATTAATCTGCATCAACAAGGGGTGTAATAATTTTCAATCATTAGTAATAATTTTTAATATACACATTTAGCCTGACCCTCATACTTCAAAAATCATAGAGGTATATCAAGCCTGTTTTGCGTGTTTGCATTGTATGATAAATGTTATCAACTTGAGAAAAAGGTTAAAGGTCAGTACCTAATGACTTCATTACCATATTCTTTCAAGAGAAATGATCACTTCTGACTTGTTTTTAAACTAAAAGTAAGGTATGTTTTGGGGAGGTGTTTTATTGTTAGTAGTAGTAGTATTTTTACATCATGTATGAGTGAAGGCACAGCATGGCATACAATGTAAATATCCAGGTATCTTACAACACTGCACAAGAAGCATGTGATTATGTATGTTTACGTACAGCATTGTTGGAAGAATTACCAGCAAGCATGTGCACAGGTACCATCATAGGCAAAAGATTTCCAAGAACATACATCATCATAGGAAAAGGTTAGTATCAGTACCCTGAAGTGCTGCAAAGGTGAGGGAGTGAGTTACTAATACTCTTATATTATTCTTTTTATACCTTCTCTACTGCAGCTCTCTCCTAAGTAAACACTTGACACACTGCCCAAGTCAGAACCATCTTAAACAGAAAAAACTCTAGATTTGTGCAAATTTGTGAACCGACATACAAATTTTCACACAAAATTGTAAAGGTGGAGAGTTTTCCAACAATAATTCACTTAATTTTTGGATGAGACTATAGAGACAGATCTTCTCTTTTCCACTAGAGGGAGACACACTACCAATAATTTAAAAGAAAGTTGGGCACTATCAACATTCTAAAGAAATTATCCTTTCTAAATATATAAATAACATATTGTAAAACATTTTGTAGTAAACTTGTGTATTAACTTTGCCCCGAAGTTATTCTTAAAATGACCATATCCCAGGGTCTTGCAGCAATTGGGAGAAACCGAGGTTCCCTACTCTGTATCAGCATATTTGTGGTTAGACCGCTCAGCCAATATTCCCTTTAATTGGAGAGCTTCGACCTCTCACGTTCATCTAGCTACTAAATCCCTAATAGCGAAAAACCCGAAAAGCTCCATATGCCCCACCGAAGCTTATATGAGGGACAAAGTTACATGTGAAAATTTGTCAGCACTCACCGACTCCCACAGGCATGATGCCAAGTGACACAAAACTGTCATTCCCCTAAGCTTGGGCAACTAACGTTATACCGTTATACAAATGTTGATCCCCTCCTTGATAGACACAAGCTTTACCCTGGATGCTTAAAGGGACACTATAGTCATCCAGACAACTTCAGCTCAATGAAGTGGTCTGGGTGCCAGGTCCCCCAGGTTTTAACCCTTCAGATGTAAACATAGCTGTTTCAGAGAAACTGCTATGTTTACATTGCAGGGTTAATCCAACCTCTAGTGGCTGTCTTCCTGACAGCCGCTAGAGGCGCTTCTGCGATGCTGGATGCGAAAATCGCATCCAGCGTGCAGAACATCTATAGGAAATCATTGAGAAATGCTTTCCTATGGACTGAATGCGCACGCGGCTCTTTCCACTCCACTCGGGAGCTGACGTCGGCGGGTGAGGCACGGTAACCACCGCCGAAGGAGCCCGGTGCTGGATTAAAGTAAGTAGCTAAAGAGGTTTTAACCCCTTCAGCACCAAGGAAGGGGGGCCCTGAGGGAGGGGAGGTCCTAAGGAGTATATAGTGTCATGAAAACGAGTTTGTTTTCCCAACACTTGTGATCCTTTAATGTATACTGCCTTTATTGTAAGTATGTCAAATGCCAGATGTCCCCCTCCCTCTTTTTTGTTAACATTGTACTTATTTGCCCTTATTATACTTGTTTATCCTTTGCGTAGGATGGTTATACCCATATATTATACTAAAGTCCCACATTTATACATCTAGTATATGTGACCATAAACTAATAGCCAGCAGTCAGTGACAGAAGTTACATAACTTATCTAACATTTAAAAAGTATCTCGATGGCTTATGATTTATGCTTTATTTTTAAAATGACTAATTTGTATCATGTTTTACAGGTACCATTAAAACAGATTTATTGCCTTCCACTTTTTTTGTGACTATATAGTCCCTACACATAGGCACGATGATTCGATATGAATTACGACTTCAGTATGGCTTAACTGTGTTAGTGCACATTTTCCCTAAAAACTTATTGGGGGATTTATAAGTAAGTTATGAAGTAAGTTACTTTATGAATTAAGTTTAAAGGTACACTCCATGTTGGGACAGACCTCATTTATAATGCATTATCAATATAATGTCTTAAGTATTTTTTTTATTTTATTTTATATTTAAAAAATATAAGATGGTACTCAGAATTTGAGATTCTGTTTGCTGAAAATTCCCAGGGGTTGCAATTTTTACCGTGAGATCTACCGGAACAAATATCAGCTGAAACCTTTTGGCCAAACCCATGGCATCTGTTATTTTCAATAGGAGTGCTCGGGTGATCCCTCTGCACAGTAGCAGTTTATGATTAGGAGTATTTAGAAGTAGAATAATTCACATAAAAGCATGAATGATGTGGTGCATCATCTATGGCTTTTTTTTTTTTTACGTTTATATCTTTATGGTTTCCTTTTTTAATGAATGGAAAACGTTTTGACCAAAACATTCAATACAGGCTCTCACAAAGATACAAGAACATAGTAAAGTGTTCCTTAAACTGTATTAACCCCTTAAGGACACAACTTCTGGAATAAAAGGGAATCATGATGGAATATTTCCGTCATGTGTCCTTAAGGGGTTAAGGATACAAGTACAGGCATTTCAGAGGAGATGGGAGTTGATTGCCGTACACCAGGGATGCCCAGAAGGTAGATCCCCAAATGTTACAGAACTACAACTCCCATGATGCTTTGCATGTCTTTACAATGCCAAAGCATCATGGAAATTGTAGTTTTAAAACATCTGGGGATCTACCTTTTGGTCCCTGTACGGCCCTGCCGTACATGCTTTAAAACGTGAATGATAGGGGAAGAATAGTTTATCCTTTGGTGTGTTGAGTGAATGTAGCAGGTTCTTATAGCTGTACTACTTTTTGCAAATTTCTGCAGTAATATGCTTTAGAGTCCAGTAAGACAAGGACAAGGTACGTCCTTGCACCAAAACCTGCGCGAGGATCTTATAATGTTTCAGTGGTAGTGTCTCCACATTTTTCTTGCAACCAAAGCCTTATAGAAAATGTTTGCCATAGTATATACAAAACACAGAAAAAATAGACAATAGTTTTATCAATTAAAGTGTTACATTCATTTTTCATTTAGTAGCTCATAATTATTACTAGCAAGCTAGGCGATGTGCAATAATACATGTTGGGATTTATCCACTAAACAGTGAATTGTATTGGATTTAAAACAGAATTGCAAAATTCAGCCTAAAATAGTCGATTTGGAAAATAATTCCTCAACTTTACAAATTTGTGAACGTGAATTTTTCCAGTGTATCTATTTTAGCCTTAATTGCACAATTTTTCAAAATCACTACAATTTGGCATTTTGTTAATAAATACCACTTTTATTTAATGCCACAAGACTGAGGTATTTGACAGCAATAGTCACTTCTGACAATGAGATTAAACATGTCATTTCAATGTGTTCTTCATGCAGTTTGATATTTTCCACGGATTTCCTTCCAATGTTATGAAAGTCTTTTCTGCCTGCGAAAAAGAAATGGGTTTAATGAGAATTTATAAGCAAACTGTGAAGCTGTACTTATACCAGGGTAAGGCTGCAATAAGAATGACAATCTAGCATTCCTTTTGTGGCACACTTCAATGTTAAATTTGTAATATTTCCCCATCTTTTCTTTGTGGTACTCTCAGCTGACTGAGGATGAATACCAGCGTTTTTAGCAGTCATTTTAAATTCCTCTCCCCTCCTCCCCCCCCCAACCAAGGACTACAAATCCTATTATTCTCAGGTCATCTATTGCGTTTAAAGGATTTTGGGAGTTGTAGGCCACCAACATCTGGGGGGGGGGGGAGGGGAGGAAGTAAGGGAGTAAAGGATTCCAGAACCAATTGTAGATTTCTTTGTGCACATGTAAATCTTCTAGTTGCTTGTTATTTGATACAAAGCAGGAATATGGATTTGCATGCACCAAAAACATTTGCCTAAGTAAATACTCTCCAAATAGATGTATGAAGCTTCACCAGTGGACCTAACTTTGCACAAATTGTGTTTTGCAGTATGTTCTTTTTCCTGTTTATGTACTTTCCCACAAGAGGTTCATACTTTGTGGCAGAAGTGGTATGAAACTGTATTTTTAACCCCTTAAGGACACAACTTCTGGAATAAAAGGGAATCATGACAGAATATTTCCGTCATGTGTCCTTAAGGGGTTAAACTCTGCAATGATCTCCTGAAACGTTTGCATGCTAAATCATAGCAACATGGATTTCACGTTACTCTACAATTTGCAGTCTTGCTCATGACTGCTACATTTGCCATAGAACCAGGACCAGCGCAACCATTAGTCAAATCAGTCATTTGCCTAAAGTGCCTGCTCAGAAGGGGAACCCCTGCTGCATGGGCTACGGAGATCAAAAAACCAACCCTTTATCCCCATACTGAATGCCTTGTGTTGGTCTCTTTTCTTTTAAGTTGTTTTGTTATTTTTCTTCTTACGTTCTTATTAAATAAGGGATTATAACCTCTAATTTTAGAAGTAGTGAAAATTGCAGGGAGTATTTCAAGATCATCAGTCTGTTGCTAAATAAAGAAAATAACGAATATTAACCACTTTACAACGTTAGTACATATCATTACATCCTAACTATACTTAGCACGTACTGACGTCCTAACGTTATGGTGTGAACAGGGATTTAACCCGTAATGCAGAAAACAGCCAGTAGATGTCAGCAATATATTGCTTTCTACTGTTTTAACTAGGAAACCCATCTGCTGATATCAGTGATAATATGAGCTGTGGGTTTGTTTGTTTTTAAAGGTAGAGTTAGGCTTATGGTAGGATTTTGGGTAGTCTTAGGATAAGGTAAGGGTTAATGTTGTTTTAGTTTTAGCGATAGTGTAGTGTTACGTTTATGGGTGATGTTTGGGTATGTATACATTTAGAGTTAGTGTAAGAGTAGAGTTAACTTTAACTACTAAAAATTAATTGAGATCCTAGACATAAAAGGGATTTAACAATCAAAACTGATATGTGAATATATTTTCAGCTCTTTTTATTAACTTGCACTGGATGTGTAAAAAATACTATAAGCAAAAATGTGAAAAATGCACCCCCCTCCCCCATTTCTTTCCCATTTTCAACATTTTATTTACATTTAATGTTGTGTTAGGTATACATATAGGATATTAAAAGAAAGCCCTTTCTGTTCTTTAAAAATCAGTATATAATATGTATGAGGTTACTTAAAGAGAAGTCCTTAAATTACAGCTGCACAATCACATTTATGGAGTTTGTTTTAGTTCAGAACTTGGACAAATGCCTCTTCTGAAGGGGTTAAAAAAAAGGTTGTCCAACACTCCATGACATCACAGTGCATAATGATTATTATTTTATTATAATATATAATGCCAGCAAATTCCGTAGCGCTGTACAATGGGATATGATGACATATGATAGACATCTTTACTATGCCACTTGTTCTGATCTGTATTGTAAGTTTTATGACATCACTGCAGTCATTGGCTTTTATCAGGGTTCCAGACAACTTTTGCTCACTAGTATTGTTGCCAGTGTACTGACCACACCAACATGGATGAAGATTTGTAACTAGATGTTAAGTTAGAAGAGGATGGTAATTAATTCTTAATCATTGAGTCAGCAGTTGAATTTGACCAGGAGGTTGCTCAACAAGGTTTACAGAGGAAGAGGTTCTATTTCAACTGTCAAAAGTAGACTAATAAGTCGAAGAGGCCTGATGGAATACACACAAAGTTATTAAAAGAGCTTAGTGGTGTACTAGCAAAACCATTAACAGATTTATTTAACCAATCATTGTTAACAGGAGTAGTCCCAGAAGATTGGAAATTAGCGAATGTTGTGCCCATTCACAAGAAAGGTAGTAGGGAGTGTATTTCCATACTAAAACATTGGACTTTCATATATTGGACCTTTATTTTTTTGCTCCTCTTAGGACTTCAAATTATATATATATACTTATGTGCTATACTATAGATTCCTGTTTTTATTTATTTGCTTATTCTATATTTTTCCATATTGTGGTGCTACCCCTAACTTCCTCTGTTTGTTATGAACATTGCTGGCTATAAATTGGAATTGCCGATAGAAAAAAGAAAGCTTGTACAGATTAAGGGAAGTTACTAGTTAAACATAGCTCTAAATGCCTGTTAGGAGGTTTGTTATGGACAAAATACTTGAATGGATGAAATGTCTTTTTTACTATGTACATGTGTGCTCAGTAACTATTTCCTCTGTAAATTCCTCCCATCCGGCTACCCTCCCCCTTCCCATCGAGCAAGCCTTGTGTAACAAATTCCTGTGTTAAAAGAACAACTTCCTTTACTAACTCCTCCCCCACTTCCTTTGTGTAACTAACAGCTATGTGCCACGTGTAACAAAATGAAGAATCGCTGTTAAAGTAACTGTTTTCCCTTCAGCCCCTCTCTTTTCAGTAACTACTCACTCCCCCTCCCATTGTGTAACCAAGATGGAGCTGGAATGTGGGTGGGAGAACTCTGTAATGATGACATTACATCCTGTAGGGTGGGTTTAGACAAGACCCCTTATACTGTTAACCAATTGTTGAATGTATACTGTATGTTAACTGTGACTCTGTACATGACGTATTTCTGCTTTAAAAGGGGCTCCCACTCCGGGGAATAAAGCATTCCTCAGGTTTTTCACTAATCAGAAACTTTGTCTCTGGTGTGAATTACTTCTAGGAAGAGCGTGCACGCATTAATTAATCAATTTGGAAGGAGTAGATAGACAAATAATCAAAGTTTGATTTGATCTAAATCAGGTTGTAGTCATCTTATGCCTAGGCTAGGGGGAGAAGATTGGCAGGCACCTGTCGGATAAACATGTGTGCACCCCCCTGTTGCACACTCCCAGCCCCAGGTCCGTTCAGGAGACCACACAAAGTATCTGACAGCCCCTTCACACTCAGTGCTCAGGACTATGTCCCCGGACAGTCCCACATGCAGAGACCTCCCTGAGGGTACTGACTATGTGTTGGGATGATCCTCCCGTAGATCTCCAACGCAGGAGGGGAACGAGCCGCCTCAGCAAGCAGCACTGCAGGTACAGAGGGCTGATGTGTCTTTGCCTCTAGGCTGCACCAGACTTGGTCATACATGGCATCAGACGCTGCTTCCTAATGCTGATGCTGTTGCTTGGCCTCAGTCATGGGCTTAGCTACTTGGATTGCGACAGCCATCTTAGGTAAGTAAGCGTTTTGCACACTTGTAGCTTGTGTATGGCCCAGCTTCCAGTGTGGACCGGGATAACCCCAACAGGCACAGAGGGGGGTGGGGGGACGGAGGAATGGTGCCCCTACAGGACTCCGCAATAGAATCAGCAGCTCCAGACCGGGAGATCGGCCACATCTCCCGACTCCAGGTCCCTGCAGGCTTCACAGGCCGCATCTTGAATTCCAGGATGTAGAGATCGAGGAGAAGCTCAATAACGAAGTGAGGCGCCTCTCACCCAGTCAGATGAGTAGTAGCTGAAGTGCAAAATCAGTGCTGGGTGCCGCAGTTCAATCTATTTATTCATGTAAAGTCTCTGAGTACTTTACCGCCACTCTAGATTGCATGAAAAGTCCATGCTTCATGCGCACAGATGTGATTTAGCATTGAAGAGTCAATGTTTTTCACAGTAAACTTTAAATTAGACTAATGTAGTTTTGTATTATTAACATTATAGTGTTAGCCTACCTGTTTAAAGCCCCCTCCCCCAGAATAATTTTTTTTTTAAATCGTTTTGTATACTATTAGTACCCTGTTAAGGCCAGCTTTCAGGTGCTTGTAGGCATAAAATTCTAAGGCGCTCCCTGCTTCCCATCTCAACAAAAGGCATATAAATAAGTATAATTCATTTACTGACTGGACATTGCAGGCCTAAAAACATCTGAAAAACATATTTATTTGAGACAACTGCCTATGTATATATGTGTGTATGTGCAGCCTGGCATTGGAATCTGTGAACATAGTGAACGTTTGCGGCTTTATCTATGCATGCAGGGTGAAAGATGATGTTAGATGTGGTTATGGTAAAAGGGGATTTAAGGTTAGAGAGGGGTTATGTCAGAGTTACATTACGTAGGATGTTTAAGGATAATAAGCTTAACAACTCAAGAGTGGTTAAAGTTGTAATAAAAAGGTTTAGGATTATGAGTTTATTAGTAACTCAGCCAATCAAATGACCTCAGCCACTCAGGAAAGCATTGGGGGGGGCGGGAGCGGGGGGGAGTGGGCTAGTGCACAGCAATTGCTGCATGTCAACAACTCCTCGTAGAGATGCATTGGCTCAATGCATCTCTATGGGGATCATGTCGACCTTTGCAATCTTTTCAGGAATGTTATAAGGAGGCCCCCTCTAGTGGCTGTTAGAGTAACAGCCAATAGAGATGGCAGTAGGTAGCAATGGCAAAAGGCAGTGTTTATATTGATGTCACTGCATGGACAGTCTAATTACGCCAGAACCACAACATTAAGCTATAGTGGTTCTGGTGTTTAGAGTGACATTTTAAGCTTCTCAGCTGGATGTGTCAAAAATTCTTGGAAGCCAATATTTTTTTTAATTTCATCAGTAATTTTAAACTATCCATAAATTCATTATTCATGTTAACAGTGAACAGCTGCAAGATAATCTGACAGCAACAATGTAATATTTTTTTTTATGACTACGGAGTCACTGCTTCACACATCCATCGGCCACGTATGCCCTATATCCAGCCCAGGTTTGATGCAGATTGAAGCAACCTATAAAGTAGAGAATGATCTTTGATATAATTACTCTTTTTATATAAAATTATTTATTTATTTTTACATATGAATTACAATATACGGTCAGTGCTCAGACCTGAATAGGGCTTGTTCCCAACAAGATTACTAAAAGATATATAAGAATTTGAGGAGCTTCCCTGATTCTTCTTATTTAATAAGTTTTTATTGAATAAAAATGATAAGGAAATGCTTATTTTTCTTCAGCAATTAAACTAAAATTTAACTGCTTTCATTGGTTTTAAGTTATCTACTAATAATTTGTAACATAACAAACTAACTCAGAATTATGGATAGAGTAAGTATGGATGTAAATTTGGATAGGATGGACAATTTGGGCCTGCTTTAAGATGGACATGGGCACACCCGCCACACCCCTTGTCGAACCCATATATCTGGGTAAAGTATACCATTACAGCATGGATACATTAATAAATTATGATATATAAATACCACAATTGTTTCCACGATGTCATCTAAAATATTGTGAAATATATCACTTGATCTTTTCATGGAATGAATACCTGCGACATGGTTTGAGAATTGAGATATTTGGATACTTTAAGGCAGTGATTGCCAAAAGAGTCCTCAAGCCCCACCAACAGTCCAGGTTTTGTCAGTATCTCCATTGGAATAAAGCAGTATACCACAAAAATCCTGGATTGTTGGTGGGCCATGAGGACTGGTTTGGGAACCACTGCTTAAATGATCATTCCAAGTAACAAACACTACACCCCACTGTATTTGTATGATGCAAATAGTACCCTGGCCCTAGTTCTCTGGTAATGGGGCAAACCATTTAGCAATGGTTTACCCAATTACCTGGATTCTCGTTGCGCTTCAAAAGGCGGAAGCCAATCCAGTCGCCATTCATTGGATGAGAGCATCAGCTGACTGCTCTAAACCAATGAATGGCACACTGTGCATGAAACTTTGTACAGAATTCATATTAGCCAGCCCGGAACTCTAGTTACAATTCCTGCAGCAAAAAGATTATTCTCAGTATGTTCTGCATCTTACACTGAATACTGCACATACAGACTCCAGACACAATGGCCACTTTAAATCACTGAAATGGTTATAGTGTTGGGTGTATCCCTTTAAGCAACTTGATAGGAGTATTAAAATAAAATGGAGAACTACTGAGTCAACACTTGTTTTTTTAAAGACATATACTGTACCTTGTATTACAAACCACATTTCAGGACCTTTCTGGATCCTCTTGGAGCAACACTACTTATAACTTATGAGAGCAATTAGTATATTACCGTGTATTGTAACAGTGCTCAATTATTTATAGCATTTTAGAAGAACATACAATGCTGTCACACACAGCTGTACACGCGTGGTTCTTTAGATACAAACAGGAAACATCTGAGTCATCCTCAGGTTTGAAAGAAATGGAAATGTTTGCTTGTTTAGTTTTAGTTCAAATCGCTTACTATTGAAGCTGCGGGTTGTCTTGTGGATTATCTTGCGGCTGCACCGGAACATGTCGGATAACTTCATAAACTGTGCAGGTTGTGTCTTGGCCTTGTGAGGCATTAGAAACAGACGCAGACTTGCTACTTGGTACCTGAAGAAAGTACAGCAATTACTTTAAACAGGTTGTAAAACCATCAACAGTCTTAAAATCTGAAGAACTCACTATTAACCGAGAATCTAGTAATAATAGTTGAAATACATATATATTTGTAAGATTGCCTAGCGCAAGTACTAATCTAACCAGAAGCAGCAAGGACAATTTGGGCCTGCTTCATGTTATAACTGGTTAACAGCTGCCACAATGGGTATAGGTAAATCTGGAAGAGATTTTAACAGCATATGTTATGTTTCATGGTTTCAGAAAGATAAGAAAAACAAAACTGTTTTCGTATAGTTGGTTATCCCATTCTTCTAATAGAACCCCTAGTGATAATATATGATCTCACCGGACAAAAACTGCATGGTTTAATGTATGTTCTCCTCCCTCCTCCCAACATTTAAAATGGACAAAGAGGGACACTTTAATTGTGGGGGTGTACCCACAGGCAGGCCATTGTGAGAATTATAGGTAATCTACTAATAACAATTTGTGAAACTGGTTCATCTAGAAAGTTCTATTTATTTTTTTGTTTTCTTTCTACACTCTAAGTGAATATACATTTAATCTGTCTAATCATCAATAAAACCATTCACATTCACCATAAATGGTTATTTCCCTTTCAACCTACAATTTTAAAAATCTGCTCGTGTAGTAGTGACAATTCCCCTCAAATCTGCCCATTCATCTAATAGTACTGGCAAGTGGGATAATAAGCCAATTTACCCTTTGGCAAGAAGCATCTACTCATTTACCCAGGAACCTACTACCATATTTTTCACACTCAAAAGTGAGAGAAAATGTCTGTGCATCTAATGGAGCAAATGTGCCCCCCTCTCTCCCCCCGTGGTCCCTGGTAGGTCTCCTACCTTTATGTAGTGTGGCTGAGTGGAGTAGTGCGCACTGCGGTACTCGGTCAGACTGAAAGGAAGTGAGCACTGAGGAACAGGAAAGTGTGTCTCCTGTACCGCGGTGCACACTACTCCACTCGGCCACGCTACATAAAGGTAGGAGCCCTTCCGGGGACCAAAGGAGGGAGAGAGGGTTAACCCACAGAGCAAGCTTCATTCATGTTTTTTATATGAATGAAGCTAAATGTAGGCTGCACAACTCTCAGTAGAAAACTGATCATGGGACTCCAACTCCCACAACCCTCTGCTATGTCCATATTCCATAAAGCGTCCGGACTTCCCATTGAATGGTAACAAGGAAGAAGGTCTAATTGCTTTGCAACGTTACCAAATGTGATTTTATATTATTAGACTCAGTACCCACTTCCTCTTTTTTTTCTTTAAAACACAACATTCAAGTTGTCAGGAAAGAAAATCAACCTTTATACTATGCATGTTTCTGTAGTTCTTGCGGAGTCCCTTATTTAACACCACTGTGTAAATCAAAATAGAAACTCTATTTTCAGAAATTGACAATAACTGAGCTTAAGATCACTAGACGATTACTTGTATCACTGCACACTGATACTGAGATCTAAACAGATTTTACCTATATTTTTTGTCTGCCTTCGTAGGGCCCTTGACCATGTAAACGGGCACAAAGGGACAGGTGGAGGGGTGGTAAGGAACACTATGGGATGGGGGGGTGGGTGGAAGAACACTATTGGACAGGGGAGTGGGTGGTAAGGAACACTTTATTTATTTTTTCTTGTGTTCCTACTCTAAAAACTAAGTGCGTTTTATGGTCAGGTGCGTCTTATAGAGCGAAAAATACGGTAATCTGGAAGATTATACTTCATATCAATAAATTCACCTCACAAAATTTATTTCACACATACATTTTCAGCTTTTGGAAACGCAAATACAAAGTAGTTAAAAATACCAGAGATAATGTGAACCAAAATGCCTGCATTTGCAATACTTTAGGGTTTAGACTAATGCTACTAAAAGTTCCCATACAATGGTCACAAATGCTAATATGATAATTTCACATGCAATGTTTCATTTATCATGCCTCATTTGTCATTATGCTTAGTTCATACCGTCCAACATTTCAAATGGACAAAGAGGGGCAGTTTCATTTTAGGATGTGAGTAGGGGTTTGACCAAGGGTGGGACTGTTCTAGGAAATATTAGGTGACTTTTTACCATAATAACAATTTATGCAACTAAAATGTAATTTAGAAAAAGAACAATGTATCTTATTTACACAGACCAATTTCTAAACACATTTATTATAGTTTAAAGACTTTATTACTGTGAGTATTATTGCTATGGAGCTCTTTTACACATTCAGACATACAAATTAAACGGAGCTCCTAGAAAAGAGGGACATTAGAGCAGAAAAGAGGTACAGATGGATTTGATCCTAAATAGGGACACTTGGGAGGTGTGCTTAATTTGCAAATCTCATTCTATATGTCATTTCCTTCCTTAAAGTTCCTATGCCTGCCATCCTTTGACAATATCATCCCTTATTTGACATCTTTTATATACCATATAGCATCCCTCATTCTAGCTCAGACTGTACATGCAGCTGCACCTAATAGCTGGTCCAAAAAGAAGCAGGGTCGTTCCCCTGATGTGAGCCTTTTGAAAGTCAACACTAATAAAGTAGTCTTTATATCTGAGAATACATTTTGGGAAGTATTTTTAAAAGCACCTGAACAGACAGTGAGTGGGATCGAAACATTAAAAAATTGTTATAACAGATGTATATTTTCTCATGCATTCGCTGCTAATTTTGGATCGAAATCACACTGACTAAGTTAACTGCAATGCTAAAGCGAGTCTACGAAAATTATATATTTTTAATCTCACTATTAACTCCTAAATCTAACACTCATAAACTAGACATTTATGTGGACACAGAAAAGAGTGGGTTTAAACATTTGTGTGCGATGTTTCTTAATAAATCCATGTTTTCCTCCAATGTGATATTTCTATCCTCATTATCTAAATAACAGAAGTGAATTTTGTTTGCTCAGCACTATGTTTGTTCATGCTGTAGCTGTGTAGTTCACTAATATGCTACACTCACTATATATATTTGCTATGATTTAGTGCAGAAGCCAATGGACGTATATAGGGTTTATTATCTAAAGCAGTCCCCCAAGATGTTGCTGAACTACAGATTCCATGATTACCTGGACACCTATTGCATTTAAAGAATTCTGGGAGTTGTAGGCCATCAACATCCGAAGGGCCATAGTTAGCTAAGCTAGCGAACATTACCATCTGGGCTGAGATTTCTCTCAACTAGGCAATATTAATTCCTTTAATTCCTGACTCATCACAACTCACTGTGGAGGGCAAAATAATATTATTGAACACGTATTCAAAGAAGCTGTTGACCCTCTGACTGAGACTCCAATATTTCACAGTCTATACGCACCCTGAGAGAAGCAGAAGGATCAGGCAAGGCAACAAACTCATATATTCCGAAGTCATTGAGAGCATCTTCATGTCCTATAAAGAAGCAATATATATAGAGCGTTACACATCTGACAAAAATATGGCATTTGAATTACATTTATTAAGGTTATAATTAAATGAGATAACACATTTAATTGCACTTAAAGGACCACTATAGTGCCAGGAAAACATACTCGTTTTCCTGGCACTATAGGGTCTCTAGGTCCCCCCCCCACCCTCAGGGCCCCCCTCCCGCCAGTCTCTAGGGGGTGTAAGGGGTTAAATCTTACCTGTTTTCCCCCACCGGGCTCCCTCGGCGTGGGGAACTCTACTCCTCCTTTTCGCCGTCATCGGCTGAATGCGCATGCACGGCAAAAGCCGCGTGCGCCTTCAGCCAGTCCATAGGAAAGCATTCTCAATGCTTTCCTATGGACGCTGGCGTCTTCTCACTGTAAAAAAAAAATCACAGTGAGAAGCGCGGAAGCGCCTCTAGCGGCTGTCAATGAGACAGCCACTAGAGGCTGGATTAACCCATTTGTAAACATAGTAGGTTTCTCTGAAACTGCTATGTTTACAGCAGAAAGGGTTAATCCTAGATGAACCTGGCACCCAGACCACTTCATTAAGCTGAAGTGGTCTGGGTGCCTATAGTGGTCCTTTAAGAAATTTCCCGGTGGGCTGTCGGCACCTGGGGCCGGGCAGACACCTGGGTCTGCTGGCAGCCGCTGGGGGAGGTCTGCTGGCAGCCGCTGGGGGAGCTGCGCTGTCTCTGCTCCCCAGCGTGCAGCTTAATGAGACCGGGGCCGGAATATGACGTCATATTCCGACCCCGGTTTCATTAAGCTGCACGCTGGGGAGCAGAGGCAGCACAGCTCCCCCAGCAGCCGCCAGCAGCCGCCAGCAGACCTCCCCTAGCGGCAGCCAGCAGACCTCCCCCAGCGGCCGCCAGCACAGGTGCCCCAGCAGCCGCCAGCACAGACAGCCGTCTGCACTGCACGACCCCCTGGCAGGTAGTAGTAATGTGTGTCAGTGTGAGTTTGTCTGTTATGGTGTGTCTGTCTGTCTGTGTCATGGTGTGTGTCTGTCATGGTGTGTGTGTGTCTGTCTATGTCATGGTGTGTCTGTCTGTGTCATGGTGTGTCTGTCTGTATGGTGTGTGTGTCTGTCTGTGTCATGGTGTGTGTGTCTGTCTGTCTGTGTCATGGTGTCTATCTGTATGGTGTGTGTGTGTGTGTGTGTCTGTCTGTCTGTCTGTCTGTCATGGTGTGTGTGTCTGTCTGTGTCATGGTGTGTGTTTGTGCCTGTCTGTCATGGGGTGTGTGTCTGTCCGTCATGGGGTGTGTGTCTATCTGTGTCATGGTATATGTGTGTTTGTTTGTCTGTGTCATGGTCTGTCATGGTGTGTGTGTATCTGTCATGGTATATGTGTGTCTGTTGTGGTGTGTGTCTGTCTGTCTGTCATGGTGTGTGTGTCTGTCTGTGTCATGGTGTGTGTTTGTGCCTGTCTGTCATGGGGTGTGTGTCTGTCCGTCATGGGGTGTGTGTCTGTCTGTGTCATGGTATATGTGTGTTTGTTTGTCTGTGTCATGGTCTGTCATGGTATGTGTGTATCTGTCATGGTATATGTGTGTTTCTGTGTCTGTCATGGTGTGTATGTGTGTTTAAAAATAGTGTTTTGCTCACCTTTTTTTTCCAAAGGCAGCGTGCTGGTCATCAACTGGCCCTGCCTCTATGGCTGAGATCATCAAGCTTGATGATCTCAGCCATTCCAATGCTTTGTCATAGGATTGGCTGCAAAACGCTACACCAATCAGCATCTCCTCATAGAGATGCACTGAATCAATATCTCTATGTGGAACATTCAGCACCTACAGAGTGTGGAGGCCCTGAATGTAGGTGCACTGACACAGGAAGCACCTCTAGTGACCGTCTGAGTGACTGTCACTAGCGGTGTCACTTTGAAGCAATGTAAACACTGCATTTTCTCTGAAAAGTCATTGTTTACGTTGAAAAGCCTGTAGGGACATGCTATAGACACCAGTACCACTACATTAAGCTATGTGTGTGCGTCTGCTAGTGAGTGAACTTGCTTGCATGTGTGTGCCTGCTAGTGAGTGAGCTTGTGTTTTTATGTCAATGAGCTGATGTATATCAGTGAGATTGTTTGTCTATGAGCCTGTGTATCAATAAGCTTGTGTGTGTCATTGAGATGTCAGTGAGATTGTCTGTGTCTGCATGTGAGTATGCTAACTGTATAATTAAATGTTTTACTCTGAAAGGACCAATATTTTACATTAGAAAAAGCAATATATATATATATAAATAACTCAATCATCTGTCATGCAAGACATAGCCTTACATATTAAACGCGACAATATATGGCGCAGTGACTTATGGGGCTGGCATAAATTTTTTTTCCAGGGCTGCTTTGTATCCCCAGTCCGGCCCTGGCTACTAGAGGTGCTTCCTGGGTCAGTGCTGGACAGTGTGCAGCACTGACGTTCAGTGTGTCCACACTCTGCATGGAGACACTGAACTTTTCCCATTGGGATGCATTGATTCAATACATCTCTAGGAGGAGATACAGACAAGCCAAGCCAACATTTGGCCCCGTCCCGCCTCCTTGACGATCTCAGCCAATCTAAAACTTTCCCCATGGGAAAGCATTGGATTGGCTGAGATCATCAATTCTGATAATGTGAGCAAAGGAGGCAGATTGGGGGCAGGGCCAGCCCAAGAGGACGCACGCAGCGCTGGAAAAAAGGTAAGTTTTATTACCTTTTAAGGGTGCTATTGGAGAGCAATCTAAATGGTGGTTTTAACACTATAGGATCAGGAATACACTTTTGTGATCCTAACCCTACAATTTTCCTTTAATGGAATAGAAGACTAAATCATTTAAATTGTCGCCAGTCTTGCAGGGTTATTCAATAAACACCAAAGTTTAACACATCAAATCTGAATGACAAAATTCAGTCAAAAGTCGCCGAGCCGTGACTAAAGCTGAGTAGGAGAATAGTTCTAAATCACCTATTTTAGCTTAAATTCTGCCATTCAAATTTAATTCACTGAAATTCTGTGTTTAGTAAAAAAAAACTGTCATGGTCACAGTTTGGATTTTTTAGCCTGAAATTTGCAATTTGGTTTTCAATTCACTGTAAGTGTTTCTAGAGGAAGAAACGCAGGTAGTTAATAATACAGGAGTAATATTGGTTAGGGCCTACAGGTGAAGGAATATTGAGAGAAAAACCACTGTTTATACAATTTGGCTTGTTCTAAAAATTTTGGGGTGTGGTAGCACACACTTTTGTTGGTGGTGTCCCTTTTTCGTACAGGGACTCTTTTTTTCCCTTTCAAAAGCCAATTTCTTCTAGTTACATAAGATAGGTCTCCAGCAAACAGAACTGAAATTATTCCAGATAAGGTTATAAATGATAAATTATTCCAGATACAGCAGCAAGTTAAACATTATTCTCTTTAACAACATTTCCTCTCCAACCCAGACGCAGATCTAGGAACATAGCACCAGGACAGAATTCACCAGACAGGCAGCCGCTTAGGAGTACCTGTATTTTACTTATATAGGGTGGTGGGGCAGTGCATTCTTTAGTTTTATATTATTACAGTAGCGTGCCAAAGTGCCATGTGAGTGAAAGTCCTCAATGCAAGCCCGCACTAACAGAACTTTTCAGTGAGTGCTGACAGATGGACCAGAGATGTGACGTTATATTGCCACCCACTCCAGACAGCAAATGGAGCCAAAAAGCAGGAGTCCTGACAGAATGCCAAATTTCAGGACTCTCACTCACATTCCACACAGTCATGCTAATAAAGACTTTGTGGAGAGGAGGGATTCAGTGGTACCGGAGTATAACCATAATGGGGAAGTAAATGACACTGGAGGGGAGACTGAGGGACACCAATGGGAAATATGAGCGCATTAAAGACATAAAAGGCACATTATGCAGAGAAAACCATAAAAGAGGAAGCTATTGGCAGAAGCATACCAAGGTTACATGGCACCCAGGGTGGAGATTTATGTTGTCACCCCCCACCCACCAACTGTAGACATTTTTATTTGAGTCACTCTGCAAAGCCCCTAACACCTTTTTTGTTAGGGAAATTACACACACACACACACACTTATGTACACATACACACACAGAAACATTCATACACCCACACTCACATTCATACACTCACCCACACATCTAAATTTTATTTAAATCTTTATCCCTGATGTCCAGTAATTTACTTCTGCGATCAGCCTGTGCTGGGCAAACACAATGCCCCAGAATACACCTTTTTATATGCACTCTAATCCTCCAGTGCATTCTCACACTGGCAAATTACACAAATACACCAGGGTATATGCACTCCTATGCAATGAATATTACATGACCATACCCCACATCAACACACACTTATTCACTAAAATCCAAATGATAAAAAAATGTAACCAAATTGCAAAGAAAATGATCAAATATCGAAGTACTAGGGCTGAGCCAGATCATTTCTTGAGATCAGCTATATTTGCCTTAATTTAGTAATATGGATTTAAAATCACTACAATTCAACAATACAATACAAAAGTTTAGCAAATAACCCTGCGCATTAAACCAGTGCAACAATTCATTCCATATGGTTCTTCATAATCAAATTCCTTTTAATCCACACCCAAGGAAATCGATCCATCAGTTATTTACCTTTGGAGTCTTATTAAATAACAATATTCCACAGGTATATCCCGGACAAATTAATCAGGTGTGGCTTAAAAGGCATTTAATTCAAATGAACAGACTAGAAAATGTTTACTGTGCACTATTTTTTGTTTTTTTTTTTAGTTTTTTTGTGTTGGGGTTTTGTGTGTGTGTGTGTGTGTGTTTTAGATAAACTGCATTGCAGTTAAACTATCTTCCAATTCCCCTCCCAGGATTGGGCTCTGAGTCTGGCCCTGCTGCAGCCATTGTTAAACTTTAAATTTGCATACGCATTGACTGCCAGGGAATTTTAGGAAATAACAGACTGAAAACAGCATTAGTGAAAGATCAGACATCATGACTCATTTAAATAAAACATTCACATCTAGGTATAGTCAATGCATTTAATTGTTGTTTCTAGAGGTTTACCTGAAAATATCTGTGTTCTTCTATATTCTGTTGAAGACCTTAAGTTGCAAAAAATAATACAGCATTAAGTAAAACAAATAATGATTTCATGCTTTGGCCAAAAGAATAATAAAAAAATATGTAAAATACCTCCTCCTATCCTGCAGTTTCCAGTGAATTGCTGAAACAGAAAAGGCTTAATTAAAATAACAGCCTTGAAACAATGAAATGTTAAAAACTAAAATATCCAGAGTTGTCTTGTACCTCTATGAAGTTGATATCTTTTCCACACAAATAGAAGGCATATACACAAAATTAAAAATAATGAGACTCCGGTTATTGCAGCCAACGGTGACAGGGAGTTTTCATTTTGTACAAGTTTCTCAGGATCTAAAGAAAAACAGAAAGGCACATCAAAGTGTGTAATATAAGATTATAAGGGACACTCTAGGCACTATAACCATACCATTTTCTTGAAGTAGTTATTGTGAGGTTCCCTGGTGCCATCCCTCCGTTAAGTATTTAATGGTATTGTACGGTTTAAATGTGGGTCCCTGGCAACAGGGTCCCTTAGCATTAACTTAGCCCAGGCACACTAGAGGTATGGCTAAGGCAGAGAGAATACTCTTTTCTAGCCATACCAATACATACCACCAATGGCGGGCCTGTGATAGGCTAAAAGTTGTCAGCTGACAGTCTCAGCCAACCATCGTCGCCAATTAATGTTCAGGATATGGATTCCTTATTAACCTAAGCAGCACCGAAGGACAAGGCTGCCAACAGGCAGGAACTTATATTTAGCTTTAACCCATTCAAAAATGGTTTAACACTTAACAGAACGACGGCTCCATATATATGGAACTTTGGGCACTATAACCACTTAAATGAAATGAAGTTGTTAGAGTGTGGTGCCAGAATATCCCTTTAACTAATTTAAATAAATATGTGCATGTAATTATATCTAGTAGAATTTATTGGACTTGACTTTAGTTCATTTATAGGAATATTGTGCAAATTTAAATAAAACCATCCACTGTACCAAAAACTGCAGTTTACTAAATAAAATAGGACGCAGTCTGCTAGCATTCAGCAGTGCGCAGTCTCAACTATTTTATCTGCAGAACGAAGCAAAGCCTCATGGGATATATGTGGGACTTGTACAAAATGGTCATAAATTGTCAAAATCTAGTGACATCTCTAAATGTCTAAGCCTGCTAATGCTCCATTTAGTTGTATTCCATTGGGGGTTAAAACAATTGGAAATTTAGCAATGCGTAAACAGTTTTGAATTTTTTTTTTATTATTATTATGTTTCATGCATCTTTAATTTCAGTGGTATTTGTTCCATTTTTCCAGTCTATTTTAGCTTATTTTTCTATATGTCAGTTTACCTTGCTGATGCTGAATAATCACGAGAAATGTATTGTACTCATACTGGGCTTCTCCCGTAAACTGATTTTCTGATTAATTGTTGACTGTTTTATGTGAACATTTTACATAGAATATAATTCAAAGATATGCTCTATACACGATTTGCATAATGGAAAATGTATTTTACATTTTTTAATACTAATAGCATATTCTGACAAGACCACATCACGCTAACAGGTTCCAGGCAGAATTGACCTGAACTAACTGCAGGAAACTTGCAAATTGCAGAATAATAGCTCAAAACAACAATAGTAATCATCTTTAGAACACTTAAATAAACAACAGATTACAGACTAAACTTAAAAACGGAAAAAAAACTCCTTTCAGATCAATTTTATAAATCCTTCCCTGTGTTTTCACCCATATTAGCACACATCAGAGAAATAATAGGATTTATGTTCCATGGGGTATCGCTGGAGGGGAGGGAGCGCTGGATCTAGGCTTGAAACCCAAGATGGGTTTTTAACAGCCCTAAGTCACCATTTCATTGTAAACCCCATGTCCCCGTTTATATAATAATCTGAATTTATTCAACGAATTAAAGTTGGGTTTAAGGCTGTGAAAACTGTATGGTATAGGACAGAGTTTAGGGAGTACTTTAAATCAATATACGTGGTGGAAGAGGCCATAAGAGTTATCCTTTTACTGAACTGGTCATTATGCAACCTAGCAAGGCCTCTGCAGGAGTGAGTGGGTACACAGAGTGAACTGTGGAACAAGTAAACGTTCTGACATTATATAACCTGTTACAGAATCACCAGTACAGGAGCCACAGAAAATCCAGGGGGAAAGTCTCTCATAGTAATCCTAGCCTCGCTTAGCATACAGGTTTCTGCAGTTTTCTACAGGCAAAATGATATAGTCTTATCACTAGGGAGTCTATTATTATTATTATTACCTTCCTTAAAGGGTTACTCCAATCAAAAACCTCTATTTTCATAAAACGATGGGTTTGGTTTTAGTGCGCCCCCTAAACACACAAAAAAATATTTTTTTAAATTAATAACGTTTCTAGTTCTCCCTCAGCACGATCTTCCTCCTTTGTCATTATTTCCCTTTTTCAGAGGGGGAAGTAGGGCAGGGTGGACAGGTCAGCATGGAGAAGGGGTCGTGCTGCTTTTGGCTATCTGTAGACAGCATGCTGTGCGTGCTGGTGCCTGATGCTGATTTTGCACAGAATTGATATTAGCCAGCTTGGGACTTTGTTATTTTATGAGTTACACCTCCAGCAGCTTAGGAGTAATCTCTGTATGTGCAGCATTTCAAAGCTAAATGGTGTACATACAGACTCCACGCACCATGACTACTTCAAATCAATGAACTGGTCATGATGCTTGTAGTGACCCTTTAAACAATGGAACATATGATCTTAAAAGCTCCACCAGATGTTCGGGACAGTGGGGAGAGGTCATCCCACTCCTCACCCCCATCATCCCTGATACCCACAACCATTCACAGTATTCAGGTAGAAAAAAACTGTAATTAACAAAATCCACTTAGTTTAGGCTAGAATTTAAAATTACATAGGATTGGGTAGAATTTTGTTTACTGCAGTCTTGAACAGTCTAGTGGACATATACGCTAAACTAGAGAAAGTATTCAAAGTAATTTATCTAGAAAATGTTATTCTGTGCTTTTGTCGACACGCATTGTTAACCGTGTACAAAGGTAAAAAGCTCATCACTGTGTCTGTTTTGATCTTTAATTGTTTATGAATAAACATATCCACGTGTATAACAGTTATTTCCCACTGCTCATCATCCGCACATATCATTTTATAGTGTTGCCAAAACAAGAGATACTGCTAAGAATGCTGCATTATTTAAATTCTTAGGTGGTGTAAAAACTAAGGACGTAGAACATAGAATGTGATGTTAACACAAATAACAGTTGAAGACAATAAAATATATACATATTTTATCTGGAAGCACTGTCATACTCCATATGCTAATACTGTGTTATTTCTTGTCACTATATGGATCCACTTTTTCTTTTTCAATTTTTCTTTTCTTTAATCGTTGCTTGTTAATAATTTTTATCAGGACTAGTGGTATATGTAGAAAAAATTCCAGGGAGTGCGAAGTCATAAACGGTAGAGGCACAGTCACTATTAGGTACCATTTAAATTAAAGAATGGCAATTTCCCCTTTCCACTCTTCTTTTGGTAGCCATGATCTGTGCTAGTAAACTGCAATTTACAGATTTCCACACAGGACCAGACTGGAAATAGTTTTTTAAATCACAGCTGCCCACTGAGAAGAAGCGGGGCCAGAGAGGGTGTGTTTTGTCATCTCCAATGCCCCCTATCAGAGTGAGCATGTTGGTTAAATTCGCAGAGCCCTGCTGAAGAGCTCTCGCATGACAAAAAGCCCTTGTTCTGGGCAGCGCAAGCAAATTTATTAACATGTTTGCACTGTGTTTGCTTCTGAATTGTCTATAATGTCTCCATAAGTGGGATACTAGAGGATAAAAGGGAAAGGAAAGCATATTGTGCAAGTGTTTGGAGCCTGCCTGTGGCATTGTGTGTGTTTAGAGTGAGTTGATTGTGGTGTGGTGTAGTGTGGTGTTTTGTGGAAATAGGTCGGTTTCAGTTGTGTTTGGGATGTAATATGTGTGGCTAGGGGCTGTAGAGAGTGAGAGAGTGTGCATATAGAGGGCATAGTGTGTATAGGGGACGTAGCAAGTGTGTGTATAGGGGCTGTATAATATCTGTGTATAGGTGATGTAGTGTGTGTTTATGATTGTAAAGAGTGTGTTTAGGGAATGTTGTGTGTTTGGGCATTTAGTTACAGGGGATTTAGTGTGTGCATAGGGGATCTAGAGTGTGTATGTCCGGAATGTAGTGTTTGTGTAGGTGGTGCGGTGTGTGCCTATAGGTGTGTGTGTGTGGAGGATCCAGAGTGAATATAGGAGATCTAGTTTGCGTGTATGTGTGTGTGTAGAGGATCTAGTGTGTGCGTGGGGGGTACACTGTGTGTGAGAGGTGCAGTGTGAGGGGTGCATTGTGTGTGTGTGTGAGGGGTGCAGTGTGTGTGTTTGAGGGTGCAGTGTGTGAGGTACAGTGTATGTGTGAGGGGTGCAATATATGTGTGAGGGGTGCAGTGCGTGTGTGTGCATGAGGGGAGCAGTGTGTGTGTGAGAGGGGTGCAATGTGTGTGTATTGCAAAGTGTGTGAGGGGTGTAGTGTGTGTGAGGGGTGTAGTGTGTGTGAGGGGTGCAATGTGTGTGAGGGGTGCAGTGTGTGTGGAGTGCAGTGTGTGTGGAGTGCAGTGTGTGTGAGGGGTGTGCAATGTTTGTGAGGGGTGCAGAGTGTATGTATGTGTGTGAGGGGTGCAATGTGTGTGAAAGAAGCAGTATGTGTGTTAAGGGTGCAATGTGTGTGTGTTTGAGGAAAGCGGTGTGTGTGAGAGAGACATGCAGTGTGAGTGGTGCAATGTGTGTGTGTGGTGCAATGTGTGTGAGGGGTGCAGCTTAATGAAGCTGTTTAGGTGTATAGATCATGCCCCTGCAGCCTCACTGCTCAAGTATCTGTCATTTAGAAGTTTAAATCACTTATGTTTCTGTCCATGCTGCCTTAGCCACACCTCCCTTGGCTGTTTCTGACTCAGCTTGCATGAAATAAATGGTTTCAGTTTCAATCAGATGTTAACTTACTTTAGAAATATTTATCTCCTGCTCTGTAAATTGAATTTTAATCACACATAGAAGGCTCCTGCAAGGTGTAGCCAGTTATTAAGACTGCAGGAGATACGGAATTCTAAATAAAACAGACTGTGCAAGTAATTATGTGTAAACATTAGATCTCACTTTACATTAAGTGTTTAGGAAGGCTGTGAACGTTACATGCAGGGAGGTGTGACTAGGGCCTCATAAACAAAAAGATTCAACTACTAAATGGCAGAGAATTGAGCAGTGAGACTGCAGGGGTATGATCGCATTGAAACGGCTTCACTGCTTCAAGTTGTTTTGTTGACTATAGTTTTCCTTTAACCCCTTAAGGACCAAACTTCTGGAATAAAAGGGAATCATGACATGTCACACATGTCATGTGTCCTTAAGGGGTTAAGGGACATGATGGCATTTTAGGAAAAAATGCCACCAAAATGTAAAAAAAAAAATCAACAATGCCAGTATGTATAGTAAGCATAATGGCCTCAATGTAATATTTTTTTTCTAAACTTTTCAAAATATTTAATACTTAAAATGATTTCATATTTTTAAAAATATAATATTCATATATGTTTTGATATTTGTCATATACGGATAGATTTTTAAATATGATTTTTTTTATATTTTGAAAAACAACTTTTAAAAGTTTATCAGGAGATATTAAATTAATTGCAAAACCTATCTAACAATATTAATTAATTAGAGGGGACTGGTGCTGGTGTGTATTGGATAGGGCTAGTTGTCTATGCTGGTGTGTTTTGGTTGTTGATTGGTGGATAGAACTGATGCACTGTGCTGGTGAGTTTTGGATAGGACTGGTGTTTTGTGCTGGTTATTTTGGAGATAAGAATGATAATTGGTGATGGTGTGTTGTGGTTAGAGCTGGGGCTCTCCTGGTTTGCTGTGGGTAGAGTTTGGGGCTGGAGTGTTGTGTACAATACTAATGCTCTTTGTCTGTGGATTACTGAGACATTTAGCTTTGCTTGTCCTTTACAAAATATATGTTATGCAGAAGATTAAACTCCAGTTCCTGTTTTCGGTTCCCTGTTTTTTAAAAGAGGAAGTTTTTGTTACAGTTTCCAAGGATCAGATTATTTTACATGAATCTACGCCAACATGAAAAATAGCTCATTTAATGATACTATATTTTAACGAATTGTCATGTTTATGGCTCCGTGGTTTACAGGGTTGGACAATGTCTGTGAAGATCAAAATAATGGCGCTCAACAAACCAAAGATTGTGTGCCAGGTTTAATGATCAGCAACAATATGGATCAGAATAATATTTGATACACAAAGTTCACTCTATATGATGAGCAGGGCAGCAATAATATGCATAGTTACATGCTTCAAACTGCTAGTTAGTTCATCATAGCTAATAGTTAGAAGCAAAGGGACACTCCAAGATCCATAACAACTATAGTGACCTGTAGGGATTCCCTTGTGCCCCATGGTAAAGAGTAAAACATTCTGCAATGGTTTTACTACTTACTTATGGACCAATGGGCGCCCCTCCCCGCCTCAACTACCATCTCCCAAGAGCGTAATAATAATAATGAGTTTAATATATCATTAAGCATTTTACTGGTTTTTGGTTGTTTCCATCTTTTTGAATTTCCTTGTATTGCTATGCCTCATATGTGCATTTTTGCAACATGTGCGTTTAGCAACAGATTTAACATGATATCTGTCTGATACTGCTGTGCAAACAGACCCTGTTTATGTTGCATTAAGGAGGAGGGGAGGATAATAATATGTCCTTTTCTCTGTTTGGCTTTTGGCTATAATACAGGGTGCTGACATCCTTATGGAAATTAGTAAAACACTCACTCTGTGCACCCTGCTACTTTACTGTTTTGTTACATTTGATATTCATTTGACGTACTGATTGAGTCCATCATTGGTACAGCTGTCACTTCCCATTCAGTGTACCGAAAACCACAAAGCATTGTATCTGGATAGTGTGCGTTGAGCCCTTGTCAGTGAGTAGAGCATGCTACATTTGTTTGTTTAAATAATAAATGACTGAACACAGTATGCAAGACAAAGCAGCCTGTTTAATTGTTAGAATTGTGTTTGAGGCACCTTGTCACAATCTGTCTTTTAGGTAATGTGGGAAGAATTCTAGTCTAGAACTAAGTAGCCATGGCCAGCGCTGCAGCTGGTTATAACATATTATTCTGTTCAGAATAAAAATGTTTTCTATACATCATGTGTGGAAGTTTTTTTTTAGCCATGCTCCCTTAAAAATAGCTACAAGGAAGAATATGTGCAATTTGGGAAAGCGGACCTGGAAAATATTTTATTATATCGCGTATTTAAGCAGTAGAGCAGTATCAGTTTTGAGTATGTTTTTAGTTTGCTTTTCTAATTATCTGTGTCTCAAAAGAGACAAAATATATTCTTGTTTACTCATCCATCTGTAATAAGAAACAGCCATCAATTGAGGAAACACAAAGCACATACCCATGTGTAACAAAATCTAACTCAAAACAATCTGATAACTACTACACAAAAAAAGACATAAAGTAGGAAATACAAACATTTACCAAAAATATAAATTTCATAATACAGGTAGAAGCAGGAAGCTAGAGAGTTTTTTACCTTTAGATGTAATTATGACAGTGAATTGTGTTTCATCTAGTTTCCGAGTTACGTTGTTGTATGCTCGACACAAATAATCCATTGTCTTTTCACCACCTTTGTAGGAAAAGATTTTAAAATACGGGCCTTTATTGATGATCAATGTTGTGTTATCTGTCCTCTGTATCCATTCAGATGTGATTGGAGGATTAGAATCAGCTGAGCAATCAAACTGAACAGACTCTCCAATATTAACGGCAAAGACTCCCCCTACTTTATGTCCTTTATCCGAACTCACTGTAAGTCCATAAGGTCCATCTGTCCAACACAAAGAAGAAGAAATTAACAGAGCAACAAAGGTTGTTGTGTATAATATATGGCATGTAAAGAAGGCGGTCTGTAAAAAAAATTGAAAGCACACTTTCTATGATTAAAATCAACACAACCCGCAGTGAAAAAAAGTATCAAATCAATTATCTCCAGTAACAGATTTGGTCAATCTTACGTTTATTACTAATTTCCTAATACTTACCCCTAATGCACTCCTAAGTACCAACTATGGGAAATGTTCTTACCAAGTACAAGAATTAAATCAACCATTTGGCATGCTAAATACCAAACATTACATGCCCCCTGACCCCAGAATATGCACCACACATATTTTCTATCTATTCTGCATTTAGGTATAAAAAGGAACCCGCTATCAGCCACAATCGATACCTGATAAATAAGAGTCTTTTCAGTGGGCATCCCTTCAAATTAAATAGGGAAGCATGCTTGAGCATTATAGAAAGGACCATACTCTGGCACTGGCCCCACCTCCTTGGTGACATTATCAGAATTGAATGCATTTGGCCTACACAGTTTATCTGCACATTTCCTGTTAAGAGAGCTCTAATGATTAAACTTCCTTTATTACACCGTCTGTTTCATTTATAATTTATTATCTCCTCCTAGAGCCTGTGTGACCAACTTACAGAGCAGGAGTTAAAAAAACTTCTAAATTAAACACCCTTTACTAATTGAAAATCAAACATTTTTATGCAGGCAGCACAAGTCACAACCAGAGTATGTGTGGCTTAGACTGCGTAAACAAAAAGAAAAGTGATTTAACTCCTAAATGGTAGAAAATTGAGCAGTGAAACTGCAAGTGCATAATCTTTACACTAAACTGCTTCATTAAGCTTGTAGAGATAATTGTGTTGTTTTGGTGCTTAGAGTGTTTGTTGACTATGGAAATATAAATGGCTGCTGACCTTGTTGGGAACCAATCCTGTAACCCAGAGATCCTACAGCTGGAGCATTATCTTCTGACCCTAATGCTGACTTTGGTGATTTGTGTGTCAACATGGAAAATAAAGAAAAGTGGGGCATGTACTCCAAATCAGAATCACAGGGTAAGATCACTAATATCACTGCACTGATATCACAGCAAACTGGCAGAGAGAACGATAAAGTAGCACGTGTCATTTTTTTCTAGAAAATTTGATTATATTTTTTTTGTTATTGTTTTTTATTATTTAAGATATAAGGCAAATTTGCAATTCAACATTTCAAAGTATGAATCTACATACCATGGTCACTATGTGGCTTGTAAGTGAAGTCATTTATGAAAGGGAAGCACAGATTGTATGGTAACAATCACAAACTGCTTATTAAATCATATTTATAATGCAGTTTTTATAGATAAAAAATGTTTACATAATAATCTCATTTGGTACGAAACATTGCAAGTGTTAGATTAAGAGTAAAAGAAAAATTAGAAAGATTAAAAATTTGAAGTGCATGTGTAAAAATAGTAAAAGTGAATTAAATGTGTAATATATATATATTTTTAAAAAAAGGATTATTTGCCAATTTGAAAAAAAAATATTCATTTGAAAAAGCTTTCAAGTGCACAAAAGGAGAACTGTACAATTGTTGTATATATTAAAGGACCACTGAAGCCACTTAGACCACTTCACCTCAATGAAGTTCTGGGTGCAGTAGTCCTGTACGTTTAACTTTGCAATTTAAAACTTTGCAGTTTTTTTTTAAACTGCAATGTTTAAATTGCAGGATTAAATACTCATACTAGCAGCCAGAAGAGGCACTTCTTCAGCACTAACCAAGTAAAACTCGGTCACGTAACATGGAAGCCCCCAGAGGAAAGCATTGATTCAATGCCATTCTATGGGGAAGGTTTGATGCACACACAGCGCTCGCCATGCATGCTCATCGGGTCCCCAATGTTCCTCTATGAATAACAATGTATTGGACATCAGCAGAGTAGGCCATGTTCCCTCCGTGATGTTGTGGGAGGAGGAGAAGTAAGCAGCTCTGAGGGAACCCCAGCACTGAAAAAAGGTAAGTAAAATATTAATTATCTTCATTTTTTTTTACTGTACACGGGGAGGAACACTGAAAATACATAGGGACATGGATACTAAAATGTTAGGAATTATGCTTTGTATTACTAATGCTTTAGTGTTCCTTTAAAGGTTTAAGAATGGGAAACACAAAACTAAACGGTAGCGCAGGTAAGTTGCCGCGACAGACACATTTATATACTAAACTATGATTTGTCAGGCATTTACCAAAGAAATGTAAATTTTAGGTAAAAATGGATGACCAGGAAACATAGTTGATTTGAAGAGACTTTTTTGTTCAGCCTTAAATCTGTGATTTCCTGCTAAATTCCTGGCAACAACTCTTGTCAGAGCTTTCCACTAAAGAGTGATTTGTAATGAATTAAAAGTTAATTTAAACTTTTGTGACAAAACAGCTAGAATGTAAAAAAATAAATAAATACAATCTCCAAGTCAACTATGTTTTCAATTCAGCTACTTTGGCTTTTTTTTTTTTTTTTTTTATTGAAATTCAGTTTGAATTACTTTAAATTACCAACAATTCACACTTTCGTGAATAACTCTGTGTGAACAGAACAAAGTTTGGCATTGAGTCAGTTTCACACTCTAGAGAAGTTCAAATGCTAAGAAGAAAAATAAAAACAAGGAAATTATACAGAAAAATTATGAAACAAGACTTATATCGATATTTCCCTCCACTAAACTAACCATGGAAACATGGAACATCTGGGTCACATGGAAATTGCGTAACCCAAATTAACTGTAAACAAATATGAAATGTTAAAGGAACACTATAGTCACATAAATTACTTTAACTAAATAAAGCAGTTTTAGTGTATAGATCATTCCCCTGCAATTTCACTGCTCAATTCACTGTCATTTAGGAGTTAAATCACTTTGTTTCTGTTTATGCAGCCCAAGCCACACCTCCCCTGGCTATGATTGACTGGTTTCACTTTCAAACAGATGTAATTTACCTTAAATAATTGTATCTCCATCTCTAAATTGAACTTTAATCACATACAGGAGGCTCTTGCAGGGTCTAGCAAGCTATTAACATAGCAGGGGATTAGAAAATCTTAATAAACAGAACTTGCAATAAAGAAAGCCTAAATAGGGCTCTCTTTACAGGAAGTGTTTATGGAAGGCTATGCAAGTCACATGCAGGGCGGTGTGACTAGGGTTCATAAACAAAGGGATTTAACTCCTAAATGGCAGAGTATTGAGCAGTCAGGCTGCAGGGGCATGTTCTATACACCAAAACGGCTTAATTAAGCTAAAGTTGTTCAGGTGACTATAGTGTCCCTTTAAACTCAAGTGAAGTGAAATGGTTTTTGCACTGCGACATGGTAAATAATGGGTCGCCAAACAAAGAACAACCAACCTCTGCCAGACAAATAGATAGACAATATTACTGTCCAGTTATTGGAATAGATAATATGTTGCAGATGTTCCCATTGTTCCCCCCTTCCCTTCTTCCTTTCTGTACCCCACCCCACTTAACTTTGGAGAAACAATAAAAAAAATTTCAAATGAAAAAAAAAACAAGGAACTTACACTCTAATTCCTGACATTTATCATCATATAAACAGCTGCTGCTCAAAACTGAAGCAATTACATAACTGAAGCGATGACAATACCACTATTTTCATACTTTTTGTCAACTCTATTACAATTACCAAATCAGTGAAAATGGGCCCAAGGCCTTACGTTATGCACTGATGTTTCCACACTCAAGTTTCACTATCCACCTAAAGATGATCTGTAGACACTTTAACATGACCTTCGAAAAACTTGGCAAATTCATTACCTTTCAAAGCACACAAACAGAACACCACAAACATTGGTAACGTGTACAAGCAACATTAACTAAAGATTTGTTGTTAATCAAGTGCACCAATTAAAGGACGAATAATCACTCTAGCTACAACATAACACAGTGCAATCAATAACATAACAAATACTGTATGCGCAATTCCTGAAATGTCAATTTCAAAGTACCTGAAAGAAACATACACATTGCAATGTCCATATGGAACATAATATGATAAAAGGGACACCTGTCAACTGCTAGAATCATTAATGCATTTGAATAGTCTTGCGATATTAACTAATCGAGCCTGACATTGCAAGATTAACAGTGATGTCATGGTTTACACCTGGTTTCAGCATGATAATGTTTTTTTTTAACTTTACCTGCAGAAAAAAGGGCAGTGAAATCTGGGTCATGAGCTCTTTGATAAGTTTCGCATGAGACCCGACCAAACAACAGAAATCATTATTGATTATTGATTACTGATGGTAGATGGTAATTTAAGCCATTGCTGGGATTGAGGACAGTACTTTAACATTCTGAATTATAAAGTATAGAAACATAGAATGTGATGACAGATAAGAGCCATTCGGCTAAATACTTTCATTAATCCCTGGCCTTATCTTATAGCTAAGATAGCCCTATGCCTATCCTAAGCTTGCTTAAACTGTTTGTGTGTGACTGTCTGCCTTTAACTGTGTGTTTGACTGTGTGCGAGTGACTATGTGTCTGGGACTGTGTATGTGGCTGTATTTGACAGTATATGTATATAACTGTGTACATCTGACTTTGTCTGACTGTCTTCGCCCTGCAGTGAGCCGGCATATAACATCATCCAGGCATCGGCGTCCTATTACAGGGTGTGCAAAGGACAGAGATCCCAGCAGCAACCACTGACCACCAGGGACTGAGGATACAGTCCAGCCTTCCCAGAGCAAGGTAAGGAGGCTGCGTGGACCTCATAATCATTAAATGTGTGTTTGTATGTGTATATCTAATTATATGTATGTGATTGTATGTCTGTGGGTCTGTGAGTGTGTTTGTGTATGTCTGCGTTTATGTGTGTGATTGTGTGTGTATCTGTGTAGTTAAGTGTGTGTGTATTTTTATATATATACACACACAACCACAAATATACACACACAGACATACACCTATTGTGTTATTGTGTGTATACCCCATCCCCTAGTGAAACGTTTTAGTGCCCCCTCAGTTTGGACTGTGGTATCTTATGTGCCCACCCCCTATATAGTGTTCCTAGAGTCAACACTGTGTCTGCATGTGTGTCTGTGTATCTGTGTGTGACTGTGTGTCTATGTATCTGCATATGTGTCACTGTGTATATATGTGTGTGCATGTGTATATGTGCATACATCTCAGAATCTCGCCAACACTACACACAATATACACCCCTGCATTTCAACGTCAACACTACATACAAACTCCACAATTATATATAACCACACCACTGCATTCAAAAACCACACTACATAAACATGCATGCCTGCATTCAAACACCAACACAACATACAGACACACACCCTACATTCACTCAAACACTCACTTACATTTAAAAGCATGAACATTGCTTAGTGCTAAATACATTCTTTTTAAACATTGCGGTTGTTTTTTTACATTTTAAAGTTGGGGGGAGTGGGTGGAGGGGTGCCAAAAATAGGACCCGCCCCGGGTGCCAAATGTTCTAGGTATGCTGTGCCTCTACCACTTCAGCTGTAAGGCTATTCCATGCATCCACTACCCTCTCAGTGAAGTAATACTTCCTGATATTATTTTTAAACCTTTGCCCCTCTAATTTAAGACTATGTCCTCTTGTTGTGGTAGTTTTACTTCTTTTATATAAAGTACATAGGAATATATTTACAAAGTCTTGTCATACGTGTAACGTTATCTAAATTATATTTATATGTATTGGTATCATTAGCAATTTTAGTTATACATGGATTAATATGTAATAAATACAATGTTTACAATGAAATGAGCATCTTGCTTAGATAGGCAATAAACATTTATTTTACGTATAAAAAAAGGGGGGGTGGGTTATGAATATACCCTGAGTGTCCACCCATTTATCTCCTCCTTAGTAAGAGATAAGCTCTTTACATAAATGAACATATTCTTTCAATTATGAGTGTTTACCAAATGGCTTGTAAAACCATAAATCACCTGGGCCATGAAGATTTCACTGCTACCTTTGCTTTCCTGACTTGTCCTGTCAACATTAGACTGCCATCTATTTGGTATGAGAGCAGATGGCAGGTACTTACTGCTAGAGACCTTTTTTATCACTGTTCTCCCCCGCAGTCTCGGCATATGGCACATTAAAACCCTGAAGCAAAATGAGTTATTGCAAACATGTTATTGACAATATATAGATGAGAATGTTCTACAGCCAAGAAGATTACTGTCAGGTACAGAATCCAAGGTAATGTTTTACATTATGGCATTCATTTACTAAACAGTGAGTTGACAACCATTTGATATATTTTTTTTAACACTCTTTATTTTACAGTAAAGAAACAAAGACCAATATACATGCGGGACAACAGAGGTCAAAATAGAAGGAGTGCAATCAATGTCCTTTAGACAAAAATAGCAAATGGGGGGGGGGGGAACCCTTCCTCGTGGTCTTGGGTTTTACATAGGATTCATGGGTCTAGGGTCGAAGAACACGAGTGGGGACATTTCATGTTCCTTTCTCAGATATCACTGAAGATACAAGTGGTTGACGGGATAGAGTGGCACTCGTGTAACTCACGGTAATCACACCCAGGCATGAGCACCCTAAAAAGGCATCTGCATTCGCTCACAGTAGAATCCAGGTATAATCTACAGGCTATGAAGTGCAGGTGCTGTAGTAAAATGTATTGGTACAAACAGGATACAGAAAAATAGAATAAATTAATCTAAGTTTAAAAAAAATTATTTAAAAGATACATAACATTAAAGGGACACTATTGTCAACAGAACAACAGCTTATTGAATTTGTTCTGAGAAGTAGAATCATTCCGTTCAGGCCTTTTGCTGTAAACACTGTATTTTCAGAGAAAATGCAGTGTTTACATTACAGCCTAGTGATAACTTCATTGGCCACTCTTCAGATGGCTGTTAGAGATCCTTCCTGGGTCATGGCTGCCTAAAATGCATCCAAACATTCAGTGTCTCCTCCCTCTGCATGCAGACACTGAACTTTCCTCATAGAGATTCATTGATTCAATTCATCTCTATGAGGAGATGCTGATTGGCCAGGGCTGTGTTTGAATTGTGCTGGCTCTGCCCCTGATCTGCCTCCTTGTCAGTTTTAGCCAATCCTATGGGGAAGCATTTTGATTGGATCAGGCTACCATGTCTTATGACGTCAGCAGACAGCTTGTTTTTCTGAGGAAAACAACATGCAGATCTACAGCTTCAGGCTTGAATACAGTAAGATTTTGCTATATTTATGGAGGCATGAGGGGTCCAGGGGGGCTAGATGGTGGTTTTAACATTATAGGGTCAGGAATACATGTTTGTGTTCCTGACCCTATAGTGATCCTTTAATGTGTGCATTAGAGAAAAGTAGTGCTATTTCTCCAGAATGGCTCTAGTCACTTAGCATCCATTTCCAAATAAGTAACAGAACAAGAAGATGTGTGTTGAAGTTGGAAGACGTTCGACTAAGAAAAGCAAATGCCATTTTACAGACATTGTAGTAGATTTGTTGAGGAGTATTCCAATGGAAGCAATATCGGCTAACATAGTAAATTAATAGAATAAAGCTGAGGATGTGTGTAAGACTATTGTGAAGAACAAATCAAATCTGAGATTTCATAGGCAGATGAGATGGGCCACTTGGCTCTGATCTGCTATTAAAATCAATGTTGTCATGCTACTTACAATATATTGTTGGTGCAATTGCTTCACTCTCCATCTCACTGACAGGATTCCTGGCAGAACAGCTGTAATTTCCGACATCGTCCTTCATTACAGGAGAAATAATAAACGTGGCATTGTTCTTGGTAAATGTATACCTCGGGCTGCTCTGTAGCGGATTTCCATTTTTCAGCCACTGGAATGTTACCCTATTTCCATTTGTCACTGAACAGTTAAATGTAATGTTTCCCACGCGTTCCACCACTTCATGAGACGGCTGACTTTGGACAATTGGCTTTGAAACTGGAACTAAAATAGAGAGAGATATTAGATTAGACACATCATCAATTCATCAGAGAACAGAAAAACATATTTTGCCTTTCGGAGTTAGAAAAATATTATATATGATTCATACTAGAATCTTTCACATATTTTTAATATTAGACCAATTAGAATTCACAATGTGGAATTAAAGATCTGCTGCACATGGACAGAGTATCAGATTGAGTATTGATATTTCTCATAATCACACATCATTATTGTCTCATTGTCATGTTGATTATAGAACAAAGAGGGAATTGGGGGCACTACTGTGGCGTAGCGGTTGGCTTAACATGGTATGACCATATGGAGGAACTAAATCCCCATATCTATTTGCTGTGATAGGTGATTTTAAGTAGCCTTAAAAAATGTATAACTTGTAAAATTTGGTCTCTACGGCAGGACCACTGCTTAGAAATGCATGTTCTGGGTGTGCCCGCATTCCCTAATTTTTCTATGTATTTTTGGAGTATAGATCAGATTCCTTTTGGGTTGAGCACCCCGCCCCACCCTCCAGCTTCAGATGCCTCTTTGGAGGTGACCACAGGAAGGTATACATTTGAGGCGGTTTTGTAGAGCCATGACACATTAATAATAATTGTTATTTGATATAGAGCACATATATGGTATGCATTGTAAGTATACAGTATATAAAATGTACTACCACTTTGATTATTTAGTTTCAACACTATATTTTTTTAAAACAGTTTTTATCACTTTAATTTTGTGTTATATATTCACAATGCTCTTCCAAAAGATCAGTTAAATACATATTTAAGTTAATTTAGCACTAGCACTATTTATTTAAAATTAGCGTAGGACCTACCGATATTGGGGTACTGTGGCATAGTGGTAGGCTTTATTAAATATTGCCATATGGTGGACCTGAATCCCCATTTTTATTTGCTGAGATATGTGATTTTGGGTACCCTTATAAAATTTTAACCTGCATTTTTCTGTGTGCTCTGTTCCTTAATCTGTATTTTGTCATGTTGCTGTCATACATTCAGAATTAGGAATGAAGCATATGTACAGTTCCTAGTATTTATGCTGTATTATTAAAAGCAAATATCAAAGAACATTTTTTATACCAATCTATGAGCAAGAAAGCAGAGACCATTGTGTGTCGAGTTTATTTTGAAATATGTATAGGATTGTTGCATCCTGTATGATTTGCCTTACATGGAGACCCTGCGTGGCCTAAACAAATTGAAATAATTTAGAGACCTGCGTGTCTCCCTGACAACCCTGATATCTGTGAATTACTGTGGTCTTATTTTATCTTTCTTTTAATTCCTTATATCTTTCTTGAAAATTAATAAAATATTGAAATACAAATCTATGAGCAAGCAATAATAATAGATAAGTATAATATATAAGAATTAATTAATGAAATATAGCAGATCCAATAACAACCTACAGGTTCTGGCTGCTTTAAAGTGACACTATACGCACTGTAACTACTTCAACTCATGAAGTTGCTATAGTGTCCATCCTTCCATTCAGCATCAAACTGTTTCTAATGTTTTAAGGCTAAACGAGAGTCCCCAACATCCCATCATCACTGTGCTGCTTAGGCTAGTGAAGCATTAGCCTGACCAGCAAAAAGCAGCTGCGATTGGCTAAGAGTGTCAGCTGACCACTTTCAGTCTATCAAAGCACCCATTGCGGATATGATTTTGTACAACTGAACCGAAGTGTTTAATCACTGTCTTAGCCATACTTCCAATGTAGCTGGGCTGTGGGACAGTGGTTTAACACTGCATGGAGGGACAGGGCCTAAGTACTCCTCGGCGCTGGGGAACTCTCCTCCCTCTTCCGACGTCATCCGCCGAATGTCTGCCAAAGGCGCACGCGCATTCAATCAGTCCATAGGAAAGCATTTCTCAATGCTCTCCTTTGGACGGCAGTGTCTTCTCACTGTGAAAATCACAGTGAGAAACGCGGAAGCGACTCTAGCGGCTGTCAATGAGACAGCCACTAGAGGCTGGATTAACCCTAAACTGCAGCTGCAGGGTTAACCCTAGATGGACCTGGCACCCAGACCACTTCATTGCATTTTACATTATTTATTTTGCAATATGCTTTAGCCTGCCTCTTTTTAGTAACCTAAAGTTTGAGGGGGAGAAGTCCTGTCCAATCTCTAAAATAGATTATGTAAAACAGCATTTTTGGGCAGGGAGCTTTTATAAAACCCTTTTTAGAGCACAGTCTCTGATCACAATGTTTAAAAGGGTTCCGTTTTCTATCAGTGCCAGGGTAGGGGGGGTGTTTGTATAAATATAATAACAGCTAAATACTATGGTGGAGGTGGCTGTTTTGCTGTCCTTTCCTTTATCAGTCCAAAACAAAAGTGAAACCTCAAAAATAATTTGTCTTCGGGTCTATTCTCATAGATTTGAAAACAAAAATAAAACTGGTATTTTAAGAGAAGCAGCAAAAATACCAGGTACAAAATGATGTAAAAAATACCAGGTACACATAACGTCTATTACAGCACTTTGGGAACATCCAGCTTCCTTCACAATTACCTTCTGAGGCTTTCCCTCCTTATGGAAGGTGTCAATGATGGTTTTCTGCACAACTGTCAGGTCAGCAGTCTTCCCCATGATTGTGATTCCTACTGAACCAGACTGAGAGACCATTTAACCCCTTAAGGACGGAGCCAAATGTACACATTGTGAACAAAACAAAATGTAAACAAAACCTGGCATTTGTGCTACATGTCTGTCCAACCATAATACACCTCTTTCATATAAAATACACCCACCCTTATTATATATCATTTTATTCAGGGGAAACAGGGCTTTCATTTAATATCAAATATTTAGCTATGAAACATAATTTAATATGAAAAAAATGGGAGAAAATAAGATTTTTTTTTTTTTTTTAGTTCTACATGACATTTTAACTGTCAATGTCATAATACTGTTTGCTTTTACTGCAATAAAATACACATATTTGTATTCAGCAAAGTCTCACGTGTAAAACAGTACCCCCTATGTACAGGTTTTATGGCATTTTGGGAAGTTACAGGGTCAAATATAGCACGTTACATTTGAAATTGAAATTCGCCAGATTGGTTACGTTGCCTTTGGGACTTTATAGTAGCCCAGGAAAGAAATTTACACCCATAATGGCATATCATTTGCAATAGACCTCACTCTCACATGGCCGGGGGGGGCTGCCAGGGGGTCGGACGTGCCGCGGTGGGCTCCCTGGGAGTCCCCCCAACCGCGATCGCCGGCGTGGGATCGCCGGCGACTGGGTAAGTATAGAAAGACCGCAGGGCGTACTATTACGCCCGGCGGCGTTTAGAGCCGCCTAAAATAGGGCGTAATAGTACGCCCTCCGGTCTTAAGGAGTTAAAGGCTCAGAAACCCTTTGCAGGTGTTATGGCTTACTTAGCTGATTAGAGTGGGACACTGTGAGCCTAGAATATTGCACCTTTTCACAATATTCTAATTTACTGAGATTGTGGATTTGGGGTTTTCATGAGCTGTAAGCCATAATTATCGCACTTATGACAAATCACAGCTTTAAATATCTTGCTTTGCATGTAATGCGTCAATCTCATTAGTTAGTTTCCCCTTTTACGTTGCATTACTGAAATAAATGAACTTTTGCACAATATTTTAATTTTTTGAGTATCACCTGTATTACAAGAGGTGCAAGACTTTTCACCTCCTTTCCCCCCAAAACTAAAAGGAAATTCAACCTTTAATCAAACAATAATATCAAATTACATGACTCCGCACTGGTACAGTTTACACGTCACTTTTTTCTGTTGCTAACTCGATAATTTGAAGAAGAAACAAGAGAACCTGGATGTACATTTTTTCACACCCTTCACAAACAAAAAAATAGATGTAATAGCTATGTAGCAAAATGACTAAACATGTAAAAAAATAAAATAAATTTTAAAAAAATCCAAAAAGAAAAAATACTTGTTTCTAGACAGGTGTCCTTGTAGACAGAAGCCTACAGGTAGCCTATTTGCCCTTCTGTACCTGCACACCCTTTTAATCTATGATACATATTTGTCAGAGAAATTATTCAACAGACACAATAATTTACTCAGACAAAAACTATGGAACAATTAGCATATTTACTATACTGGTTGCCAAGTTAAGGGTTATATTATATTAAATATATATATATTCTTTTTTCCTCATCATACTTCCTTCTACGTTCAAGGAAAAGTGCAGAGTAGGAGGTAGATCAGACGCCAGACACGCCTTTAGAACACATTTCTTATAAATGTGCCAGATTGCAGAGCCAGGGTATGTTGTCCTAGGGAACGGAGAGGATGTTTATCAGTTTCAATAAGCCCTATTAACCAAGAGGCAGATAGTTATATACATGTGTTTGCAAGTTAAGCCTGGATTTATGTAGGGCTCGTACACAAAATGGATCCTTGCGTCTCACTGCTACGGTTAATGATACTGTGACATCTTTCGACTCAGACTGGATTTCATGACTAGGCTGAGCAGATACTGTGAACCTGTGTGTTGGTCTCTCTGGTTAATCTACATTTCAGTGAACCCTACCCTTCTCCCTTTGTTTTATTTCTTCCCCATTCACGTATTCTCTTTTCATTTAGTCTCAATTTAAATTCTCTCTTTATTATACAGTCAGCTATTTCTATTATAAAACAGCTATGTCTATCAGATGGTCTCATAGACAATCGGATTGGTGCAGCATAGCATTTTTCTGCACATTCGCACTAGCCTCCCTAGCCAGCTAGCTGCCATGGAGGAAGGATGGCAGTGTGAAAGAAAGTAAAACTTTTTTCCTCAGCCTGGGGAGGAGGGGCCGGCAACCTATAAGGCTAACAGGGTACTATTCGTTTAGGAATATATAGATGTCTATAGTGTCTCTTTAGTAGCGAGACCGGGTCTATGTCAGATTGGAAGTGGGGTCAGTGCGCAGGGAAAGCAAGTAGGAGGAAAAGAGGAGAGGGGCAGAGAGTCTGGACCAAACTCCCATCAGCCTCAGCCAGATCTGGACTCCAGGGAAGCCACACTGGTGCACCCAAATAGTATGGAAGCGTGGTGTGTCTAAAAATATGCTAATTATGACTTGTGTGTGTTTGTGTTAAATTGTGTGTCAGTGTGTATGTGTATCTGTATTATGATGTATGTGTGGCACTGATAATATGTATCTGTGTCAGTATAAAATTAAACAAAAATAATGAATAGTGATGGTGGGAGGGAAGGGCGTGATGGTTTGAGGGAAGGGGGTGATGGTGAGAGGGAGGGGGTGATGATGTGAAGGAAGGGGGGTTAATAATGTGTAGGAGGTGGGTGATTGTGTGAGGGAGGTGGGTGATGGTGTGAGGGAGGGGGGACTAAATACCTTTTGTCATTCCCTGGTGGTCCAATGTGGGCTCCCTCGTAATCCAGTGGACATACTGAGCAAGCCGCATGGCCCCCTCCTGGTGTCGGGTGACCGAGGATCCGACACAGTCTACCCTAAGGCGGTTTAGGGGGCCGCAAGGCCTTATGCGGCCGCCTAGACCGCTTAATTAGAGAGCCGCCTGCATAGTTCTGAAAATGATTTACGGTGACCTGGGGGGGCAATAGCCTCCCTGTCCTCAATCCCAACCTGCCCCTGTGTTTGGTGTTATTCAATAGCTTAGCTCATCTTTAAAAGTTTCTAGGTTATGTTTTTACTTTTCTTTTTTGCTACAATTTAAAAAAAAAAAAAAAACTTTGGTGGCTTAGGAACTAAATATGCTCCAGAAGAAATAAACAACTGATGGATAACGTACTGCAAAGTACCATATATAATGCTCTATGTCTTAGACCATTGTTGATATGCAATGTACCGGCTGTCAAACCAACAATAAAGAATTTTTTTTTAAAAAGGGAAGATGTCCTCCAGACTGTTAAAGTCACACACAGGTCTAATTGGCTCTGGTATGTGTGAGTTGGCAGTCACTGAGACCAATTTCACCTTCATTGTTCTACTTATTTATTAACAGAATTACACTATTGTTTTTTATGTTTGTTTTATTTTTCATGTACATATTATCTAAAAAAAAGGCAAGATATATACAAATAAGGTATTTTCAACTTTATGACACATTTTGTTTGCGCTACACCGTTTTCACTTTATTTACTCTCGTTTTTATTAGTGCATAAGTGTAGAAGCTGTTCACCTTAAATATAAAATCGGGCATTATAATAACATCTTAAAAAGTACCTATTTTCCCACGTTTTATGTTATGCATGTATCTAATGCTGTTATTTTTGTGCCTTAGTAAATATGCCCCTTTGTTTAATCGTTTGACCACGATTCTCAAACATAGTCCTTTGTGTGACCCAACAGTGCAAGTTTCCAGGATCTACCTCTTTCAGTCCAGAAGAATAAATCAGAAATATGTCATTTAGACGGATTCTAATGAATAACCACCTGTAAGCAACCTTCAGAACTCCTAATGTTGTGGATTACATCACTCAGATTGCTCTTACAGCCTTAATGCTTGCAAAACATCAGGAGAGATGTAGTCCACAATATCTAAGTTTGCATACCATTGACATAGAGACTACACTGGGGGCATCATTTGGACACATCATTATTTAGTTGCTTGGACTTACTGACCAATTTTATAAAAAATATAGATATACCTAAAATATATCTATATTTTTGTATATCTATAAATTGTTAAAAATCTTAAGGAAATTTTTTTTTTGTTTTATACTATTATGAACAATGTTTCGTAACTACAATGTCATGTTTCTGTTGATAGGGGGTCTTTCTATTTCATATTACTCAGTTAATTGTAGTAGTTATGGCGTAAAGAATCCTTGGGTACCGTCTCCATTTTGGATAGGTTTGAAAAAAAAAATGTAAATTCAAAAAAGACTGGATTTTCCCACCACCTATAGTCAATACCCCTGCTGCATCTCTGTTTATGTGTAAGTGAAATCCCTGTTTTCCTGGTCAATGTTGATCTGCGGTGATAGGCTAAACATGCTGGGAGGGGTCAGCTAACAAGCTGTAGTGGTTATAGTGCTGAGATTGCCCCTTTAGCCTTAATATTTATAAATATAGCCTATCCAGCACTTAGAGGAGTTATCCCTGCTTGTAGACTCCATGTCCAACCTCAGAAACGTCATTTTATGCCTTCCGAGGATGCTGCTAAAATTACTTTCTCTATTCATTAGTGAGTGTTGATATTGGGCGTAATTATCGGTTATACTGTGGATGCAATCCATTAAACTCATTCAGTGCATGTTGCAATGAGGGTATAGTCTAAAAAACACTGTTAACTAATGACAGTGACAGCTATTGTTATGAGACAACACTGGCCTCAGATTTAACTCTTTCACCATAATTAATAAAGCTGAACTGGTTGAATCTACTTTATGCATACTATGCAATCTGTATTGGAAACTCTAAACACACAGACAGGGTTATTAACTAAAATGAGCATTCAAAGTGAATTTAGAAACTTAAGGTCAAATCAACTATACTTTCAATTCATCTACTTTTGTTTGAATTTTAAATTCACTTTTAACTCTCACTTTAGTGAATAACCCTGAGAACATCACCTGATATAAATTTTAAAATTTGAAAGAGACAGAAATGTTATTTCAAAAACTAATATAATGCATGTATTTTTTTCCCTGCATACTGCATAAATTGTGAATTCACAATGTAAGATAACATCTTCATAATATCAGGCTGTCTTGGACCGATAGATGTTTCTTTCACAGAGTTTGTACTTTTCTTTATTTGTTTAGTATTCCCTGTTACATTAAGACTAGAAGACAAGCATTCTAAATCACATCGTACATACCAAATACCACAAAATGTCTGGCAAATAATACATTAAAAGCAAATGGCTTTAAAAGATTGTTGGTTCGGGTGCGGGGCCTCACACTCAAGATGGCTGGACGTGTTTTCCCTCAGCTCGTCCACATCTAAGCTAAAATTACCCCTAAAGAGTGTACAATTCCCTCAGAAATCACAGGGAACTGGCAGCAGAATGTTCTGTCAATAGCCTGCAACAATATTGATTTGAATTGATTTGTTTCTTTGAGTACTTACTTCACCTAGACCTGTGGCCTAGCGTGTCTGGTGGCTCGGTAGCTGGGTGAAGCGGCCGATCTCCGAGCTTGAGGTGCACTGATCACTGAGGCAAGTGGACAGCCCCGTTACTCTGGAGCAAGTCTGCCTTAATTCATGTTATATATTGGGATATTATTATACTGACCTGGAGCTCATCCTTCTTAATTTTGTTTCTGCCTGCTCTTAAGTCCTAAGATGTTCCTGTGCAACCCAGTGGTTAAAATCTCATATACTACTCAAGGTCCATTTCTACTGTTTTATTGTATTAAGATTTTGTTTGATAGAGGTGGGCTATGTTCCCAGATTTTATTATACTCTAGTTAACCTTAGATATGGGAGTTTAGTCTGTAAAGTTGTATTCTTATCTTACAAAAAAAATAATAATGCAGAATTCTGTACATGTCATGTTATACATCGCTCGATGTTTTCTTACATTGTGCTGACATGCCCCACGAACCTGTATGTTTATCAATGCATTTAAAAAATAAAGAATGTAAAAAAATAAAGGATTGTGGGTTTTGTTTTTTCTTGTGAGGTTTTTTTTACCCCCACCTCCAGAATTTCAAACAGTGTGTCCCGACCACCACAAAATTATGTTTAATAAGCTTATGAAGTTAAAAAAAAATAAAAAGGTGTCTTGGAAAAATGTATCTTAAACACAATGTATGCAACTAAAATATAATTTTGAACAAGAACAATGTATCTTAATTACACAGGCTTTCCAAACACATTTATTGCAATATAAAGGCACAATTATGTGAGTTTTATTGCTGTTGAGCTCTGTCCAGCAAAATAGAACTCATAGAAAAGAGGGACAACAGGACATAAAAGTAGGACAGAGGGACCCAAAATAGGGACTGGCCCTCCCAAACAGGGACACTTGGGACATATGCCCCTGCCACAACCCCCCCTCCCCTTCCCCTCCTCGCACCACTATTAAAGACCTGGACTTTCTTTACTCTCTTAATTTTGAAATAGATGCAACAAGGGGTATCATTAAATATTGTTATAAATAATGGACTTACCGTTAACAGTAACCTCAATCTTTTGAGTGGCTGAAATAGTTGTATTTCCTGGAATGTTTACTTTTACAATGTAGTTCCCTTCATCTGCAAAATTTAATGAATGTATCAGCAACGAGGCATCTGGAGGACGAAGAGTGAATTTGTGTTGAAATTCCAGGTCATGAACCACTGTTTGATTCATTGAGTTGACCAAGTATATTGGAAGAAAGTTAGACCTCTCGAGTAGCCATATAATTTGAATCCCAGAAGTAGAGGTGTTGAAGTTGTAATGAACGGGTAGAAGGAGAGGCTTTCCCACAGTGCCATGGATAGTTTTCGATAGTGTCGTAAGGGTCAGTGCAGAACACGTATCTGTTAGAGGGACATCAATAAACATTTGTTAAATGTGAACCAAACAAATGAAAGTAATTGATCAACACCACTAGAACAAAAACATCAAATGTAAAGAAATGTTTTAACTGAAATATGAAATACAAAAAGAAATTGCTATCGCCAGTCATATTTCTAACAGGGAAAATTGATGAATATATGTAATAACCTTTGGTAAGTGCCTAATAAAGTTGTAGCCATGTTACTGGAATGTACAATCTCCAACTCTGTAATGACCAGGTGAATTCTGTCCAGTTTGGGAATTATTGCTTAGCCTGGTTTATTGCAAAATTAATTGTATGAGCATTAGGGTTAATCTGGAGCAGGACATTCGATGATGTGTTCATAAATCTGTCTGTCTCTTCCTTCCTCCCTGTCTCCCCAATGTCTACAGCTGTGTACTAATGTTTTTTTGAAAAATAAATATTTGTGGTTATCAAAAAAAATTGTGTTTAATTTTTTTTTTCTACAAATTTTTTATCAGTAAGGAGATTTTTATTTTTTTAATGGTGCCTCATTAAAAAAAATACCCACTGTACACCTCTAGTCATAATACGTGTAAAACCATTTGTTAATGTTCAATGTCTATTTTGTAGACAGCTCCCTGATTTATGTGGAGTTTTCATGTTGAAGGATACCAAATAAGAGAGCTATCTACTAAACACAACAACTCATTAAGTTGATACCCTTAAATATGGTAATCCCACTTTAGGGTACCAATTTTATGAATTTAAAGAATGAACTTATGAATGAATTGCGCAAAGAAGAATTTAATTAATCACACAATTTATTCATAAGTTCAGCTTTCCATTGTGCTATTTCTCAATTCTTTATTCAAACAAATGTTTATTGAAACACAGATCCATCAGTATTTTTTTTATGAAAAATTGCTGGATTTCATCAGATCCATTATATTTCATAGAAACACAATGGAATTCTACATGATCTATATATATATATATACCACGCATTTTATATTATAATATAGCGGGATCCTGCCAGATCCACGCATTTTTGTGTTAAAGTTATTTTATAACTAAAACTCATTGGAATTCACCAGATCCACGATCTTATATTTCCAATAAACTTTCTTGTGTTTTTGGGGTGTTTTATGGATCTGGATATACCACCTAATCCTACGTTATGTTTGCTCATCTTTTTGGTTTTCAATGCAAGAACAACCAGTAAATGATCCAAGCATTTTACTATGTATTAAACTAATAAAGCTATTTTACAAAACGAGGAAGCATATGGCTCGGCTGCTAGGATGATGTTTTGGATAGATAGACAGTGTGATCACTGGGAGTATTCACACATTTTGCTAAATGAATAACTTGCATGTGTTCTCTTTGTACATTGTTATTACACCAACCCAGATACTTGCAATAAGATCATTATTTTTTCATTTAGTTTCAGCTCACAAAACAGCACACTCTGTAAAGCGGGATTTTCCTACAGATCTTCTGTGTTCTGTTTGATTTTCTGTTGCTGACTTTTTCTAGTTCCCAAATCTAGTCTGAACCTAAGCTACCTGTCACACCTGTGGCTTTTACCAGAACATCAACCTCAGCCCCTTGTTTTGTACACATGACACTGGCTTGTACAAATGGGTGTAGGAACCTGGGGGAGTGTGGGAGATGAATCCACCTAGAAAATCTGGTCTCTTTGATCATATACGGGGCTAGGATTATTACGTAAGGCTCACCTCCCTCCTTACCCCACCCCCCCAAAAAAAATGTTCTTCCTATGTTGATGCCTGTATGTGACTTGGACTGTGAGCTACCAGTCACAACCTAAATCATGTTTCTTTAAAACATGATTTATTATCAACTCATAATTGATCTTGTTCTAACTGCAGTCTAGTGTCAGGTTTTTATTTTCGTTTCAATGCTTTGCTGTCATGCAATTCTGGGGACTCCACTCCCGAACTAGGGTGAGTTCTTGGTGAAAAATGCCACTCAAACCTTTGAAGATATTCTAACTTTTTGTCTGTTCTGCATTCTGGATTAATCTCCATCTTCAAGGATCCTTAACCACCATGGACATTACAGGTGAGCAGGATTAAAATTTACACTCACTGCAGAGTATACTGACATCAAATGCACAAAATGCTCTATTTCTGTGCTATTCTCCTCCAGTTCATGGCTGTTAAGATGGACACAGATGATAAACTGGTGTCTTTTTTTGTCTCCAGAAGCCTCTGATCAATCCACTCCTACACAAGCAGCAGACTGGTTTTAGAAACCTCCCCAAGACTCCTCTACTTGATACGTTTGATGGGAAAGCCTCAGAGTTGGAGCTCCAAGAACTACTGAATGCTTCAATTGAGCATTTAAATTATTATTTTAGTTCAGTTTATTAATTTCATGAAATTACGTAATTCTCAAAAAAGTTATAATGTAGGCCTTTTGTACTGGGGTAAGTAGTGAAAGAATATCTCCTTAAGTGATTGTATGAATAATTTATCATTTCTCTTTATGGTAAAGAATATACTCTAAACACTATGACCACCTCCACCTCCAGCAGCATCATTAACCAGCTAGAAACTAAAGTTCCGGCTTAGCTAATATGAATTCTGTGCATATTGGGTGTCTGTTGTCCGCAAACTGAGCATGCGCGAGACAGACAGCTAATGGCACCAAAGTCCTCTTCTCATCCCATCCTCCGGGACGTCACTCTCCCTGCAGTGTCACCAAAGGATGATTGGGCTGCAGGGAGAACTTGGAGTTAGATCAAATGTAAGTTAATACTTTATTGCTTTCTTTTTTGATTTGGAGGTAATGGTTACTCTAATGACCCAAAAACATTGTTTTGATAATGCAATGGTTTTTTGTTGGAGTAACACTTACGGAGATAAAAAAAAAGCTTAATGTGAATGTATGATGCCAATTGTATACTGTGTTATACTTGAGAAATTCCCTTTTATCACACTCTCTAGCAATGAAAGAGTTAATCTTCCCTCTTCCCAAACCCCAACAAAATATTTCATGTAAAACTTTCCTCTCCTATAATCAGCATGATAATTAATCATGCGTGGGAAACACTGTCAGGGTTTTCAATTTAGCCCTTGTCATTATTATATGTCTGCTACATTCTTTCCTATATGTTAATTCAACAGTAACACCAGCCATCACTGGAGTGTATTGTATAAAAACCAACAGCTGAAAATAATATTGACATTCAACAGTGTGTTGACCCAGTCTTTTGTGCTTCCCTGTTTACTTTTATCTGGGAGCCCTTTATCAGAATTACACATCTTGACAAAGCCTGGGACACACCTAAGGTTGCCAGATCCACCACACTTTGCTGGATACACATGACCTGTACCTATTGATGAGCAGCACATGAAAGGTGCTGGCCTGTAGAATGTAGAATTGAATCATGTAGGAAAAAGAAGCGATTATTCAGCACTAAATCCTGCAGCATATGGGTTCCACATACAGCAACGTGCATGTGCTGCCCATCAACATGAAGAAATGATGTGTGTTCAGGAAAACGTAGTGGATTGGGCACTGGCTGAGAACATTAGCGGAATGCTAATCTGTTAAACCCTGTACCACCAGGCTTAGCTCAGAGTTGACAGCTTCCTATAAGAGAGGATGCTGGGAATGTAAGCATGAGGTTTGATTACTGACATTGGTGGGGAACCAGGAGACTACAGCACATTGCAGTGGTTTTGGTGCTCGGAGTGTTTCTTTAAAGGGTTACTCCAATCCTTTTTGGGTGATCTTTTTTTGCATAAATTACTCTATTGGCCACTATTATTTAGGTCCCCCAGTATATCCTGAAACACTGTCTTCCACGCCCCTACATGACATTAGCCAGGGTCTCACGTGGACCAATTACAGGCTTCTCACAAAGGTGGAAGGCATGCTGCCATTGGTTGTCACATTACAGCAACTGCAGCACTGGACCACTAGGGCAGGTGGTGCCGTCAGGTTCCGCCACGAAAGGGATGGACTGATAGAAAGGGTAAGTGTTTCTAAATGTGCCAGTATTTGTGTGTCAGTATATGCATATGTGTCAGTGTATGCATTTATGCATGTCAGTGTTTGAGTGTGTCAGTGTAGAAATAGGGACATACCTGTCAGTGTTTGTTTGTGTCAGTGTATGGATCTGTGCATGTGTGTTAGTATATGCATCTGTGCAAATCTGTTAGTATTTGTGTGTCAGTCAGGGCCGGACTGGGGATTCCAAAGCAGCCCTGGAAAAAAAATCTATGCCAGCCCCAAAAGTCATTGCACCATATATTGTCGCATGTAATATGTAAGGCTATGTCTTGCCACCCTAGATGATTGAGATATATATATATATATATATATATATATATATATATCTTTTTCCAATATAAAATATTGGTCCTTTCAGAGTAAAATTTTTAATTATACAGTAAGCATACTCACATGCAGACACAGACCATCTCACTGACACAAGATGATTGATACACAGCCTCATAGACAAACAATCTCACTGATATAAATAAGGTCATTGACATAAAAACACAAGCTCACTCAGTAGCAGGCACACACACACACACACACACACAAGCAAGCCCACTTACTAGCAGGCGCGCACACACACACAGCTTAATGTAGTGGCTCTGGTGTCTACAGCCTGTCCCTGCAGGCTTTTCAATGTAAACAATGACTTTTTAGAGAAAAGGCAGTGTTTACATTGCTTCCTAGTGACAGACACTCAGACGGTCACTAGAGGTGCTTCCTGTGTCAGTGCGGATTGGCTGAGATCATCAAGCTTGATGATCTCAGCCGTAGAGGCAGGGCCAGTCGAGGGGAGACCAGCACGACACGGGAAGAAAAAAAAAGGTGAGTAAAAACACACATACACACACACATACCATGACAGACACACACCATGACACAGACAGACCATAACACAGACACACACACCGTGACAGACAGACACACACACACACCATGACAGAGACACACACATACCATGACAGACACACACCTTAAAAAAGACACACACACCTTGACACACACACACACCATAACACAGACAGACTGTGACACAGACACAGGTCTCATTAAGCAGTGCGCTGGGGAGGGGGAACAGAGACAGAACAGCCAGCTCCCCCTTCGGCCGCCAAAGGAGCTCCCTCTGCGGCCGCAGGTCAGCCAGCTGCCTGCCTGGCCCCAGGTGCCGACGGCCCACAGGGAAATTTCCCGGTATCTCGGTGGGCCAGTCCGGACCTGGTGTCAGTGTATGTACAGGGACGTATTAGCCGCGAGGCAAACAAGGCATTTGCCTTGGGCGGCACTTTCCAGGAAAAGCCGCCCCCAAATGCCCAAGCAAATGTCTTTTTAGCCTGGCGGTTAACTGACAGTCCGGGCGGGCGATGATGGCGAGGGAGCACTGATCCCGGGAGCCGGAATATGACGTCATGAGTTTTGTCATGCTTAGGGCAGCACAAAACCAGGATACACCACTGTGTATGTATCTGTAACGAAGCTCCCTGTACTCCGACCGAGTACCCTCGGTTGATGGATGCTCCTAGCGCTTCCTGAGGACTCCAAACACTGCAGCAGACACCACAACCACCGCAGACTCCACAACCGCCGTAGCTTAACTGGAGTCTCGCTGTCTTCCTTCCACCCTGGATCAGCTTCTGTCCTCCAGGACCGTGTGGGGAAGACCTCTCCTCCAGGAGAGCGTAACAGGAACAGCTCTTACAAGAGCTAAGTGACTAAAAGCTCAGGGGAATATGCAGAGCATAGCAATCCCCAGTGTGATATAGCAGTTCCCTCCAATAACGAGACAAGGCTACGTATTGAGGGTCAAGAAGATCTGTTTACTTGGCACCAAAGGGCCTTCTTTTATGCAGGTTTCCCTGAGATAGGACCACCCACAGGGGTTTACAGAAAAACCAATCATAAACATACATTACAGAAACACTCCCAGCAATTACACACAAAAATCCTCCCCTCTGCCTGTGATCTAATTATGGCACACAATGGGTTAACATAATTAAACACAGGCAGTAAAAATACAGTTTTTATACATGTACTATAACTTTCAAACTACACATCCAATCTTCATAAAAATTACATATTTAGAATCAATCCATTCAGGGGAGCAACATATAAAAAAATGGCACAAATCAGACAAGGGGTTCAAAAGTTAGCAAAAGTATCTTTTGGGGCCTGGCTGGCAGCATGGTTATCTGGCCCAAACCGGTTTTACAGAGCCCTCTATCCAGGAGACAATGGGGAAAATAATCCACTTATATCCAGGGATAGAGGCAAACTCCATTAACCACATGTTAGCAAAAGACACAAAAAGACACATAAATACCTAACTCTTATCATACTGAACAGAACCCCCACATTCAACCTATCCCCAGATGGCTTGGATCTGAGCGCTCAATATATCCAAACAGCGCTCAGATCCCACAAATACAGTCAAATCGCCATACCCACTAGGTCCATAGTCATGGGGCAGAAGGCTGTCAATTAGGCTTCTCCATAACACAGGGAAGCAGGGCAATTTGTCAAATAAAATAACAGTTACAAATGTCAGTCTGTAACAGTATCTATGTATGTTTGTCAGTGTTTATGTGTGTTGGTGTATGTCTGTGCATATGTGTCAGTATATGTATCTATGCATATATGTTAGTGTTTGTGTGTGTCAGAGTATGTATCTGTACATGTGGATCTGTGTGTGGATCTTGCATGTATGTTAGTATGTGTCAAAGTAACTATATGTGCTTGTTAATCTGTGTGTGTGTGTGTCTCTCGTAGTGTATCTGTGTGAATATATGTATGTGGGTATGTGTGTGGCAATGCACTTGTGATTCTTTGTATGGCAATGTGCCCCTATATGTGTTTGTGCCAGTGCATTTGCATGCATTCACCAATATTACACACAAATCCACCACACATTCAAATGCCAACACTGTACACAAAATAGTCCTGCATTCAAATGCCAACACTAAACACAATCAGACCCCCTTGCATTCAAACATCAGCAATATACAAATAAACAAACATTCACACAAATATACTCCATACAAAATCTACATAGAAAACACATTTACATTCACAGATACTGCAGCATACAAATAGAACTCTGCAGGGATAGGTAAATAGTAGACCCATAGCTGGCAAAGCATCATGGGATTTGTATGGCAGCTCTGCAGGGATGGGTAAATAATAGATTTATAGCTGACAAGGCATCATGGGAGTTGTACGGTACCTATTGACCACCTCTGCTCTATAGCAAGGGGGCTTAACAGATTTTTTTACCGGGGCTCTGAGGTTCCTAGTTACGACCTTGATATTATATATTTGATAAATATTTAAAATATTTAAATATAGTTTTTTTTTTCTTACTTGATCTATGAACTAAATGGCAGAAAATGGGGCCTATTAGTGTACTGCAAAATATAAACATTTAAATTATATACAATTTTACATAACTAACCAATCAGGAGCTTTCATTTTGATTTCATGGTTAACGGCAGCACTTTATTGGATCTGTAGTTTATGATTAGTGGAAGTGCTCAATAAAATAAAAACAGCCATACCATGAAGAGTTTTTGTTAATTCACAATCCAGTTTACAGTTCTCGGTTTGGGGTGTGTACACATCTGACATTCTGCATGAGAGCAGAGTCATCTCTAATCCTGCAAACATATCTGTACAGCTCAATGTATTGCTGAAACACACGTGCGTGGCCTGCTTTGGTTGGCTGAGAATCATGAGACTTTCGGTCTAGGGCATCTTGAAGGCAGGTACTTTATAGCTCTATCTCCCCCCCTACACCCGCTAACCCTAGCTAACGCTAAAGTCCCCATGACATAACCTCCTCCCTAGCCCTAGTGGTGGCAATGCTATATTACACTGTGCTAGCAATGCATTGCTGCCATGTTCTTAGAAGAGACATTTCAGAATTGAAACATTTACAATTTGCTACTAGATGCTCTTACAAGTAATGAAAGAAATAATCAGGTCTGATTTCTGCCTCAAATTAAAGTGTTGAGTTGCAGAGCAGACCAAACAAAGTCATACACATATTAACAGATTGAAAGAGGAAATCGTAGGAATATGAGAAGTATTTATAGGGAAAAAAAAATAAAACAGAAGTGACAGCACACTGAATCAAGCATGTTAATCAGAAAATATGTTTCAAGAATTTCCACTTTAACAGATATAGTTGAACATCTTGTAAATTGGTACAGATTGGCAGACCCACAATCTGTACTAAAATGGACTTTACATAGAGAAGTAGTTGATTTATGGAACTGATTCCAGGCAGATAAGGTAGAGGTGAATGCACCCGTGTGTCTGCACTTTTATGGTTCTGTGCAGTGTTAATTTTGGAGGCAAATATTAATTTATTTTTTAGTCAGTCTTTTGACTAAAAAGCCATTTTGGTTGTATTTTAGTCATCTGAATTGTTTTAGTTTTAGTCGATTAAATCTCCAGTAGATATTACTTGACACAAAAAGGACTTAGTTAAAGTCTCTATCTGTTTATTTTTCCCCTTCCCTAGGCAACCTGTCTCTCTTGTGTCCTCCCAGACCCTCTGGGTGTCTCTCTCCCAAACGCTGGTCTGCTTCTTTTGCCCCTTCCACAGGCCCTCTGTACAGTGTTAAAGGGACACTATAGTCACCCAGACTTCAGCTCAATGAAGTGGTCTGGGTGCCAGGTTCCTCAGGTTTTAACCCTTCAGAGAAACTGCTATGTTTACATAGCAGGGTTAATCCAACCTCTAGTGGCTGTCTTCCTGACAGCCGCTAGAGGTGCATCTGCGATGCTGGATGCGAAATTCGCATCCAGCGTGCAGAACGCCCATAGGAAAGCATTTCCTATGGACTGTTTGAATGCGCGCGCAGCACTTGCCGTGCATGCGCATTCCGCTCCACTCGGCGGGGGAGGAGAGGTCACCAGCACCGAGGGAGCCCGGCGCTGGATTAAGGTATGTGGCTGAAGGGGTTTTAACCCCTTCAGCGCCAAGGGAGGGCGACCCTGAGGGCACTATAGTGTCAGGAAAACGGGTTTGTTTCCTGACACTATAGCGATCCTTTAATTTTGGCGGCAAATTTCAATTTAGTTTTAGTCGTATTTTATTCATCTGAATTGTTCGAGATTTAGTTTAGTTTTAGTCGACTAAAATTTGACTAAAATTGTTAGTCGACAAAATTAACACTGGTTCTGAGTCTTTATTTACACTTTAAGGCTTTTATTATTGAGCTGACAGATGGGCAAAAAAGGCTGGTTTTATATGCATTATACTTATAAATGTGATCATTTTTACATCACGCTCATCCCAAGAGATCTAAAAGAATCTGCATTGTACTTAGCCCTTAAAACCTTGAACAACCCTAACTACATACATTATGTCGAATCAAAATGATCTCTACACTCTGTAGTATAGATTTACAAACATTTAAATGATTTCATGTTTATATCTGTATTCTAGTTTATTACAGCCGTCTCTTTTAGGAATGCAAACCTCTGATGTAAAGGTACAATCTACGCCTACAATCAAAGCAACACCAAAACACACTCATATTGACAGACAACACTAACAGCAAGTTTAGGCTAAAATAAAGTCTTTTGTGCTTTGTTTTGTTTTTGTGGACAAGCAGGGAGGGACAGCCAGCCAACTATATTTATTTAAAACACAAAGATTCGCTTTGCAGAATGCATATTTTATGCTAAATTGTGACAAACATTTGTGTTATGTGTAAACATATCTCTGAACATTTAGACATAGGGGCCATGCTTACCACAGTTATAAAGTCCAGCCTTCTAATGGATGTTCTTATTACAAAATCCATAATAAATAAATATATCAAAGCTTCATACTCCAATGCTCTTAATACTTTTTTTCACTCTAGTGAGAATTGTCAGGCATTCAAAGCATATTCAAAGTGAATTTCAAATTTTAGGCCACAATAGCGAAATTGAACAATATCTCCAAGTAACCACCCCCGGGTTAGCCCCCCCATATTGAGAATTTTAACAAAAGATTATTCCATTTGTTAGATCTTTGTTAGATCAGGTTTGATCAACAATTTTTTTCGTTAGATCTACTCTAAAATATGCGATATTAACAATCATTGTCAGGGGGGGCTAACCCGTAGCCAGCCCCCCCTCAACAAAAATTTGGAGAAAATGTTGTTGATTATGATAGCTCTACGTTAGATCAGGTTTGATCAGGCAAAATTTTTGTTTGATCTAGTCTAATTACTGAGATATTGCATATATAATTAGGGGGGGCTGGCCCCCCCTCAACTGAAATTTGGACAAAATGTTACTGATTTTGGTAGCTATTCGTTAGATCAGGTTTGATCAACTGTTTTTTTCGTTAGATCTATCACGCAAGAGGCGGTATTCACTACTTAACTTTGTGGGCGTGACTACGGGTTAGCCCCCCCTCAAGTGAAATTTGAATTTTTTTTTATTGATTTTGGTAGATATTCGTTAGATCAGGTTTGATCAACTGTTTTTTTCGTTAGATCTATCACGCAAGAGGCGGTATTCACTACTTAACTTTGTGGGCGTGACTACGGGTTAGCCCCCCCTCAAGTGAAATTTGAATTTTTTTTTATTGATTTTGGTAGCTATTCGTTAGATCAGGTTTGATCAACTGTTTTTTTCGTTAGATCTATCACGCAAGAGGCGGTATTCACTACTTAACTTTGTGGGCGTGACTACGGGTTAGCCCCCCCTCAAGTGAAATTTGAATTTTTTTTTATTGATTTTGGTAGCTATTCGTTAGATCAGGTTTGATCAACTGTTTTTTTCGTTAGATCTATCACGCAAGAGGCGGTATTCACTACTTAACTTTGTGGGCGTGACTACGGGTTAGCCCCCCCTCAAGTGAAATTTGAATTTTTTTTATTGATTTTGGTAGCTATTCGTTAGTTCAGGTTTGATCAACTGTTTTTTTCGTTAGATCTATCACGCAAGAGGCGGTATTCACTACTTAACTTTGTGGGCGTGACTACGGGTTAGCCCCCCCTCAAGTGAAATTTGAATTTTTTTTATTGATTTTGGTAGATATTCGTTAGGTCAGGTTTGATCAACTGTTTTTTTCGTTAGATCTATCACGCAAGAGGCGGTATTCACTACTTAACTTTGTGGGCGTGACTACGGGTTAGCCCCTCCTCAATTGAAATTTAATTTTTTTTTATTGATTTTGGAAGCTATTCGTTAGGTCAGGTTTGATCAACTGTTTTTTTCGTTAGATCTATCACGCAAGAGGCGGTATTCACTACTTAATTTTGTGGGCGTGACTACGGGTTAGCCCCCCCTCAAGTGAAATTTGAATTTTTTTTATTGATTTTGGTAGATATTCGTTAGATCAGGTTTGATCAACTGTTTTTTTCGTTAGATCTATCACGCAAGAGGCGGTATTTAGCCCCCCCTCATGTGAAATTTGAATTTTTTTTCATTGATTTTGGTAGCTATTTGTTAGATTAAGTAAGATCAACTGTTTTTTTTCCGTAAGATCTATCACGCAAAAGGCGGTATTCACAATCTTATTTTAATTTTGCACATAAATACCAGTACATTTTCATATCAAGCCACAGGTGACATCATAATTTAGGAATTTGCTTGGATTTGCTAACACAATGTGTAGATCATTTTCAATATTTTTTTTTATTCTCTACATGCACAGTATTGAGGTGATAAAGTCCAGCATATGCCCAGCCTGAACTTATTAGTGATATTTGAATACAGTTGCAAGAAAAAGTATGTGAGCCCTTTGGAATGATATGGATTTCTGCACAAATTGGTCATAAAATGTGATCTGATCATCATCTAAGTCACAACAATAGACAATCAGTCTGCTTAAACTAATAACACACAAATAATGAAATGTTGCCATGTTTTTATTGAACACACCATGTAAACATTCACAGTGCAGGTGGAAAAAGTATGTGAACCCCTAGACTAATGACATCTCCAAGAGCTAATTGGAGTGAGATGTCAGCCAACTGGAGTCCAATCAATGAGATGAGATTGGAGGTGTTGGTTACAGCTGCCCTGACCTATAAAAAACACACACCAGTTCTGGGTTTGCTTTTCACAAGAAGCATTGCCTGATGTGAATGATGCTTCGCACAAAAGGGCTCTCAGAAGAACTACGATCAAGAACTGTTGACTTGCATTAAGCTGGAAAGGGTTATAAAAGTATCTCCAAAAGCCTTGCTGTTCATCAGTCCGCGGTAAGACAAATTGTCTATAAATGGAGAAAGTTCAGCACTGCTGCTACTCTCCCTAGGAGTGGCCGTCCTGTAAAGATGACTGCAAGAGCACAGCGCAGACTGCTCAATGAGGTGAAGAAGAATCCTAGAGTGTCAGCTAAAGACTTACAAAAGTCACTGTCAAATGCTAACATCCCTGTTAGCGAATCTACAATACGTAAAACACTAAACAAGAATGGATTTCATGGGAGGATACCACAGAGGAAGCCACTTCTGTCCAAACAAAACATTGCTGCACGTTTACAGTTTGCACAAGAGCACCTGGATGTTCCACAGCAGTACTGGCAAAATATTCTGTGGACAGATGAAACCAAAGTTGAGTTGTTTGGAAGAAACACACAACACTATATGTGGAGAAAAAGAGGCACAGCACACCAACATCAAAACCTCATCCCAACTGTGAAGTATGGTGGTGGGGGCATCATGGTTTGGGGCTGCTTTGCTGCGTCAGGGCCTGGACGGATTGCTATCATTGAAGGAAAAATGAATTCCCAAATTCCCAAGACATTTTGCAAGAGAACTTAAGGCCATCTGTCTACCAGCTGAAGCTCAACAGAAGATGGGTGTTGCAACAGGACAATGACCCAAAGCATAAAAGTAAATCAACAACAGAATGGCTTAAACAGAAGAAAATACACCTTCTGAAGTGGCCCAGTCAGAGTCCTGACCTCAACCCGATTGAGATGCTGTGGCATGACCTCAAGAAAGCGATTCACACCAGACATCCCAAGAATATTGCTGAACTGAAACAGTTCTGTAAAGAGGAATGGTCAAGAATTACTCCTGACCGTTGTGCACGTCTGATCTGCAACTACAGGAAACATTTGGTTGAAGTTATTGCTGCCAAAGGAGGTTCAACCAGTTATTAAATCCAAGGGTTCACATACTTTTTCCACCTGCACTGTGAATGTTTACATGGTGTGTTCAATAAAAACATGGCAACATTTCATTCTTTGTGTGTTATTAGTTTAAGCAGACTGTGATTGTCTATTGTTGTGACTTAGATGATGATCAGATCACATTTTATGACCAATTTGTGCAGAAATCCATATCATTCCAAAGGGCTCACATACTTTTTCTTGCAACTGTATTCAAATATCACTAATAAGTTCAGGCTGGGCATATGCTGGACTTTATCACCTCAATACTGTGCATGTAGAGAAAAAAAAAAAAATATTGAAAATGATCTACACATTGTGTTAGCAAATCCAAGCAAATTCTTAAATTATGATGTCACCTGTGGCTTGATATGAAAATTTACTGGTATTTATGTGCAAAATTAAAATAAGATTGTGAATACCGCCTTTTGCGTGATAGATCTTACGGAAAAAAAACAGTTGATCTTACTTAATCTAACAAATAGCTACCAAAATCAATGAAAAAAAATTAAAATTTCACATGAGGGGGGGCTAAATACCGCCTCTTGCGTGATAGATCTAACGAAAAAAACAGTTGATCAAACCTGACCTAACAAATATCTACCAAAATCAATAAAACAAAATTCAAATTTCACTTGAGGGGGGGCTAACCCGTAGTCACGCCCACAAAGTTAAGTAGTGAATACCGCCTCTTGCGTGATAGATCTAACGAAAAAAACAGTTGATCAAACCTGATCTAACGAATAGCTACCAAAATCAATAATAAAAAAAAAAAATTCACTTGAGGAGGGGCTAACCCGTAGTCACGCCCACAAAGTTAGGTAGTGAATACCGCCTCTTGCGTGATAGATCTAACGAAAAAAACAGTTGATCAAACCTGATCTAATGAATATCTACCAAAATCAATAAAAAAAAATTCAAATTTCACTTGAGGGGGGGCTAACCCGTAGTCACGCCCACAAAGTTAAGTAGTGAATACCGCCTCTTGCGTGATAGATCTAACGAAAAAAACAGTTGATCAAACCTGATCTAAGGAATAGCTACCAAAATCAATTAAAAAAAATTCAAATTTCACTTGAGGGGGGGCTAACCCGTAGTCACGCCCACAAAGTTAAGTAGTGAATACCGCCTCTTGCGTGATAGATCTAACGAAAAAAAACAGTTGATCAAACCTGATCTAACGAATAGCTACCAAAATCAATAAAAAAAATTCAAATTTCACTTGAGGGGGGGCTAACCCGTAGTCACGCCCACAAAGTTACGTAGGGAATACCGCCTCTTGAGTGATAGATCTAACGAAAAAAACAGTTGATCAAACCTGATCTAACGAATAGCTACCAAAATCAGTAACATTTTGTCCAAATTTCAGTTGAGGGGGGGCCAGCCCCCCCTAATTATATATGCAATATCTCAGTAATTAGACTAGATCAAACAAAAATTTTGCCTGATCAAACCTGATCTAACGTAGAGCTATCATAATCAACAACATTTTCTCCAAATTTTTGTTGAGGGGGGGCTGGCTACGGGTTAGCCCCCCCTGACAATGATTGTTAATATCGCATATTTTAGAGTAGATCTAACGAAAAAAATTGTTGATCAAACCTGATCTAACAAAGATCTAACAAATGGAGTAATCTTTTGTTAAAATTCTGAATATGGGGGGGCTAACCCGGGGGTGGTCTCCAAGTAAGCCATATTTCAGTTCAGCTATTTCAGCGTAACAATTAAAAATTGTTTTAAATTCCCTGAAAATTCAATTGAATAACCCTGAAAACACGTCCAAAGCTTTGTAAACCTGACAATCTGAAAATAATACACATAATGGTCTGGATTGACAGGGTTAACAACTGCAACAACAAACATATTTTTTTTTATTTTTTTTTATAAATTCAGAAAGTGTCACACATTTGGATGCATTACATTCATGATAAGCCTATTATTAATGTGTTAAAGACGATGGAGGGTTAGACTAGCATATATCATATGTGCTCTCATTGGCCTATTTATATATAATGACAATAATGTGATTAATCTAACTAAATTCAAGTGTTTATTCACTAATATGAATTGTAGCAAGTTAAGTTAAGTTAAATAGCTGATTTAAAAAAAAAAGTCTTCACCTCAGCTATAGCCATGGTTTAACTACTATAATTTACATTTTGCAACTCTTTTTTCACATAACACAAACTGGTGTTTAGTGAATTAAGCCCTAAGTGTCTTAAAGGGACACTATAGTCACCCAGACCACTTTAGCTCAATGAAGTGGTCTGGGTGCCAGGTCCCTCAGGTTTTAACCCTTCAGATGTAAACATAACATTTACATTTGGGGTTAATCCAGCCTCTAGTGGTTGTCTTCCGGACAGCCACTAGAGGCGCATCTGCCTCCTTCGCACAGAGCGCCCATTGGAAAGCATTGAGAAATGCTTTCCTATGGACACTTTGAATGCACGCGCGTCACTTGCCGCGCATGCGCATTGGGCTCCAGTGACGTCGGACCGGGGAGCTGACGTCGGACGGGGAGGAGAGATCACCAGCGCTGAGGGAGCCCGGCGCTGGATTAAGGTAAGTGGCTGAAGGGGTTTTAACCCCTTTAGCACCACGGGAGGGGGACCCCTGAGGGTGGGGGCACCCTCACGGCACAATAGTGTCAGGAAAACCGCTTTGTTTTCCTGACACTATAGTGATCCTTTAACCCCTTAAGGACACATGACATGTGTGACATGTCATGATTCCCTTTTATTCCAGAAGTTTGGTCCTTTAGGGGTTAAAGGTAATTGAGTGGTTCCTGATTTTTGACTTGACCTGTAGCAATGCAAAGAAACAATTATATTGGTTATCTTATCCTTAATCACATTGCACTGAATCTCCAAGTTCAAATAATGCGCTTATGAACTCTCTGGCAGACAGTGTCCAATGCCATTTTCATAATTACACCTCATGAAGTGGTAATATGGAATATTTTTGTTAACGATTAGAGTGTTGGTTCTGTACCACTTGCATGGCAGAGAAAGGGTTAATATTACAACTGTTTTCTATCACCTGTCTTCACTTACTATTTTTCTATTCTAATTTGATTATTCTTATTAATCATCTAGTTTATTTAAAGGATAATTTTCAATATTATGTTCACCTATCCCTATGTTTAACAAACGTACTTTTGAGGTTTGAATACAAAAATTACATGTAGAAATTCAAACCTCTTTATCCTGTAACTGGGCGCTTCTATCTACGATGCTTGGAATCTGTATGTGCGCTACAAAACGCTGTACATACTTAGTTTAATCCCTCTGCTGCCAGGCGTGTAACTCCACCTCAGGCAGTGCCATTGGGGTGTCATTGTCCAGCACGGAACTAGAATTCTGGGCTGGCTAATGTCAATTCTGTGCATATTCCTTTGCATAGCATTGCATTCATTGGCTGAGAGAGGTCAGCTGATCAATTAATGTCAAGCAGAATTGATTTCTGACTTCTGCAGCTCTGCAGTAGTAGGATGTCGTCACTGGCCATAGAGGACCCACTGCGCACCGTGTGGACCAAGGTAAAAGGGCAAACTGTTGCAAAATGGTTTGAACCATTACCAGGAAACAGGGGCAGCATACTCCCGGCACCATAACCACTACAGCAGGCTGGTTATGACGCTTTGAATAATCTTTTAAGTATGCACTCATATATGTATGTAAAATAAACATTTGTATCCTATGCTATATTTTAAAGTATACTGAATGCATACATAAGCACACATATTGCGTAAAGTGCATTAATGAAAAAAATTCAATTCAAAATAAACACTGTTACACTAAACAAAAGCTATGCATGAGACTACACAATGAAATACTGGCTATATTTAAAGATTCATAAGGCATGTGCTTTTTATGGATTCAGGCAGGCTGTTAATTAATGCATAAGCTAACATAAAATAAATACATATTTATAATATAAGTGTATAATAATCTTAAAAGTATAACAGACCCGAACTATATTTAAATACAACCAGACAATATTAACATAATGCTCGTAGCAGAGTACAAACTTTTCAAAGCAAACAAATTACAAAGAATACTACTATACATGAATTATGTTGGGACAGATACAAGTTAATCTCTAATTAAAACTAGAATTATTTATATGCATAAAACACTGCATTAGCAAAACAAAAATGTCTACAGAACTCACAATAAACAGTAAACTAAAACAGCACATATCGAACTTTACTATTAAAAAAAATTATAGAAGCTTAAAAAAAAAAAAAAGGGACTGTCATTAAGGTTTAAAAACTGTTTTGAGCATACAGTATCCCTACATTCACATGGAACAGATACATTGCAGTCAGCTTTGATAAGTGTTTCTGAAAAAGCACAAAACTTGTATTTTTTAAAATATGACACAATGCTTACCTAATAGCAGTAAATAGATGTTGTATTTCAGAAAGTAATATATGGTACTATAGTTGAGCTCCATTGATGCATTCTGTCCAATGCAAATATCACTGAGTTCCAAGTCAGTGCTGAGAGCAGCTGCTGGCTTATTTGCTAGACAAATCACTTGTGAGCTACCAGCATCTAGCCAGCCTCTTGCCTTAGGTAATTTGAATATATGTGAAAGAGGGATCGAATCCTGTTCTCAATCCGTATTCATAGACAACCTATAATAATTATTTTCAGGTAGGGTCCTGGAATAAACCAGCCCACTGTGGACAGAGGCTGAATCAACTGAGACTTTCAAGGTTTGACATACACTGGAGTTCTGCATCGCTGTTCATATAAATACTGAAATACTTTCTTAGCAAGTTTGCAACTCTGCATTCTTGTGTTGTTTCCAAACCAGTAATAAGGTAACAAAATGAAAAAGCATTGAGCATTTTAGCATCTAGATCAGGGGTCCTCAAACTGTGGCCCTCCAGATGTTGCTGAACTACAACTCCCATGATTCTTTGAATTACATAGATAGCCAGAGAATGATGGGAGTTGTAGTTCAGCAAAATATGGGGGGCCGTTTGAGGACCCCGATCTAGATAAAGGTTTAGAAAACAACCCAAGGGGGTGTGTTCACTAAACAGCTACAGTTTGTGAATTGAAAACAGAATGGTTAAAGTTTAGTCAAAAATAGCTGATTTGGATCAATTCTAAACTCAGGTAAAGTATAGCTTGTTTTAGACTAATTTGTCTACAAATTATCAGGGTTATTCACTAAAGTGAAAATTCCAAGTGGGTTGAAAATTTATTTTCTAATTTAAGACCATCTCAGCCATACAGGGAACATCGCTGGATTAAAGTTTTTTTTTTTTCAGTTCTGCTGTATTGCTCTTAAAGGAACACTGTAGTCACCTAAATTACTTTAGCTAAATAAAGCAGTTTAGTATATCGATCAGTGAAAAACAGCTGATAGAGGTGGTTTCCTTCTCCAATCAAAAAAGAAGAGGATCCACACACCCACTGAATCCACCAATGGACTTGAGGGACTAGCCCTATTTAAGGACACATGGAGGGGGGTTGTTTTAGGATATGTTTATTTTGTACTTTGTATTGATACATGGTAATTATTTTATTGCGGTCCCTGAGGAAGTTCATAGCTAACGAAACGAGTAGGACTATTTTTTTTTGCAATTCATATTCTATGCTGAACTGGGCACTGCCTATATATATTTATATATTTTTTTTTATTGAATACATTTTCTTAAATTTTAACCCTGACCTGTGGCTGTCTCTTGGTGGAATAAGAATTCGGAGGTGATCAGAAGGATCGGTTGGCCCCCCACTATACCGGGGGAGGCAAACTAAGAGCGCTTATACTTGCCTACATCTAGTGAGTGCAATAGATTGCTGCGCACATAATATTGTATTTTGTAACAATATCACACTATGTTCCATCAAAACAACTTTACCTTAATGAAGTAGTTTGGGTGTATAATGCCCCTGCTCAATTCTCTTCCATTTAGGAGTTAAATTACTTTTGATCCTGTCCATCCAGCCTTAGCCACATTTCCCCTGGCTGTGACTCACACAGCCTGCATGAAAAAAATGGTTTCATTTTCAATCAGATGTTACTTTACTTTAGATGTTTTATCTATGGTACTGTAAATTGAATGCTCATAACACAAGAGGGTCCTGCAGGCTTGAGTAGACTATTAACAAAGCAGAAGATAAGTAATTCTAAATTAAACAGAATGTGGAACATATAAAGTTTAACCCCTTAAGGACGGAGCCAAATGTACACGTTGTGAACAAAACAAAATGTAAACAAAACCTGGCATTTGCGCTACATGTCTGTCCAACCGTAATTCACCTCTTTCATAGTAAATGCACCCACCCTTATTATATATCATTTTATTCAGGGGAAACAGGGCTTTCATTTAATATCAAATATTTAGCTATGAAACATAATTTAATATGAAAAAAATGGGAGAAAATACGATTTTTTTTTTTTTTAGTTCTACATGACATTTTAACGGTCAGTGTCATAATACTGTTTGCTTTTACTGCAATAAAATACACATATTTGTATTCAGTAAAGTCTCACGTGTAAGACAGTACCCCCTATGTACAGGTTTTATGGCGTTTTGGGAAGTTACAGGGTCAAATATAGCACGTTACATTTGAAATTGAAATTCGCCAGATTGGTTACGTTGCCTTGAGACTGTATAGTAGCCCGGGAATGAAATTTACACCATAATGGCATACCATTTGCAATAGTAGACAAACCCAAGGTATTGCAAATGGGTATGTCCAGCCTTTTAGTAGCCATTTGGTCACAAACACTGCATGCCATGCTTAGTATTTGTTTCTGTGTGTGAAAATGCAAAAACGCCTACCTGGGCTGTGCGTTTGTGACTAAGTGGCTACTAAAAAAGACTGGACATACCCCGTTTGCAATACCTTGGGTTGTCTACTATTGCAAAATGGTATGCCATCATAGGGGTAATTTTCATTCTTGGGCTACCATAGGGTCTCAAAGGCAACGTAACCAATCTGGCGAATTTTAATGTGAAAAAATGAAACGCAAGCCTTATATTTGACGCTGTAACTTTTGAAAACACCATAAAACCTGTACATGAGGGGTACTGTTGTACTCGGGAGACTTCGCTGAACACAAATATTTGTGTTTCAAAACAGTAAAAAGTATCACAGCAATAATATTGTCCGTGTAATGCTGTTTGTGCGTGAAAAATGCAAAAACGTCACTTTTACTGGCGATATCATCGTTGTAATACATTTTACTGTTTTGAACACTAATATTTGTGTTCAGCGAAGTCTCCCGAGTAGAACAGTACCCCCCATGTACAGGTTTTATGGTGTCTTGGAAAGTTATAGGGTTAAATATAGTGCTAGCAAATTAAATTCCCTTTACTTTCGGCATGGGTTGTCATGCAGGTCCTGCTAATTGTAATTAATTAAGATACCTAACTATGTAAAAATATTACATAAATATATATGTAGAATCAATATATGTATATATATACGTATGTGTATATATATGTATATATCTATATAATTTTTTTTAAAATATTTTTATTTATATATAGGTATATATAGTGATATATACGTATATCTTTATGTGTATAAATATATATATTATTTCGTTCTATGTGTATTTTGATATATATATATATATATTAATTTCACAATACAGTTAGAACGAAATAACACACATCTATATATTTTTTAATTATTTATTTTAATTATTTTTGTAATTTTATTTTTTAACGTATTTACATTTTAATTTTTTTTATAATATATATAAATATATATATAACAATAATTATATATATATATTTAATCAGTATCAGTGTACGTGTAATTTGATATTAATATATATATATAATTATATATATATTAATAGTAAAATACACCTAGACGGTGTACATGTGTGTATGTATATGTGTGTATATATACTTTGATCATATATATATAATATATATATATGATCTAAGTATATATAATTTTATTTTTTTACACTTTTAACTTATTTTACTTTTATTTTCAGCCAGCAGGGGGACCCCCTGTAATTACAGGCAGCCCCCCTGCTGGCAATACAGAAGCCAGTTATACCCGCCATGTGATTGTGGGGTCCTCGCTAGGACCCCACTCTCACCCGGCCGGGGCTTCCTGGAGGACGGTCGATCTGGGCGCCGCTGGGAGTCCCCTCACCGCGATCGCCGGTGTGGGACCGCCGGCGACCGGGTAAGTACAGAAAGACCGGAGGGCGTACTATTACGCCCGGCGGCGTTTAGAGCCGCCTATTAGAGGACGTAATAGTACGCCCTGCGGTCTTAAGGGGTTAAAGGGATACTATTTTCACCACCAGGGCTGCCATCAGAAAGTTTAGGGCCCCTGACACAGCTCAAGATCTGGGCCCCCGGGGCCAGCCCTGAGTCCGCCCACAAGGATGTAGTGTGTGTGTGTATAGTGGATGTAGAATGTGTGTCATGGACGCAGTGTGTATAGTGGATGTAGAATATGTGTATTGGATGTGGTACGTGTGTCATGGACGCAGTGTGTATAGTGGATGCAGATTGTACGTTTTGTGTAATGTATGTAATGTTTGTATGCATGCATTAGCTGCAGAGTGTGTGTGTAGGGAATGTAGGTGTGTATAGTGAATGCAGAGTGTGTGTTTGTGTAGTGGATGTAGTGTGTATAGTGAATGTAATGTGGTTTGCAGCGAGTGCAAAGTATGTATAGTTATTGTAGTGAGTGCAAAGTGTGTATAGTGCATGTAGTGTGATTGTAATGAATGCAAAATGTGTATAGTGAATGTAGTGTGATTGTAGTGAATGTAAAATGTGTATAGTGAATGTAGTGTGATTGTGGTGAATGCAGCATGTGTGTATAGTGAATGCAGTGTTTTTGCAGTGAGTGCAAAGTGTGTTTAGTAAATGTAGTGTGTTTGTAGTGCAAAGTGTGTTTAATGAATGTAGTGTGTGTGTAGTGCAACGTGTGTTTAGTGAATGTAGTGTGTGTGTAGTGCAAAGTGTGTTTAGTGAATGTAGTGTGTGTGTAGTGCAGAGTGTGTTTAGTAATTGTAGTGTGTTTGTAGTGAGTACAGTGTATATAGTGAATGTAGTGTGTGTTTAGTGACTGTAGTGTGTGTGTGTGTAGTGCAGAGTGTGTTTAGTAAATGTAGTGTGTTTGTAGTTAGTGTAGAGTGTATTTAGTGAATGTAGTGTGTGTGTGTAGTGAATGCAGTGTGTTTGTAGTGAGTGCAAAGTGTGTTTAGTAAATGTAGTGTGTTTGTAGTGAGTACAACGTGTGTATAGTGCATGTAGTGTGATTGTAGTGAATGCAAAATGAAGTATGTCAGTATGTATGTCTGTGTGTATGTCAGTATGCATGTATGTCTATGTATGTCTGTGTGTGTGTGTATGTCAGTATGTATATATGTCTGTATGTATGTCTGTGTGTATGTCAGTATGTATCTCTGTATGTATATATGTCTGTGTGTGTGTCAGTATGTATGTGTGTATGTATGTCAGTGTGCATGTATGTCTGTGTGTGTATGTCAGTATATATATATATGTCTGTATGTATGTCTGTGTGTATGTCAGTATGTATGTCAGTATGCATGTATGT